GTGTGGTTGCCTCTCACGCACACCCAACTGGGGACCTGACCTGCACTCCAGGCAAGAGCCCTGACTGGGAGTTGAACCTGTGACCTGTTGATTCTCAGGCCAGCATTCAATCCCCTGGCCCACACCAGCCAGGGCAGTAAAGAGAATTTTACATCTAGGATGAAGTGTAGCACCAGCTAATATGGAGACGGTGTGCACATAGCCCTTACTAAGTGTGACACCAGACACTTCTACAGCATTTTGAGAAGAAAAAGTGGCGCCAAGAACAAGCGTGTTGGCTGGCCTGGAGACCCACACTGAGCAGGTGGGAGAGGAGAAAGAAACGCTTTTTCACGCTCAAGTCCTCTATGCTTGTTGCCACTGGCGTTCTCCCTCCCATGACTCTGCCATGCTTCTGTTTGAAAAAGCCACCAGGAGAAGGGGAGCAGGTCACTGGATGACATGCTGGCCAGGCTCTCCCACGTGCACTCTCTCCTCTGGGGAGATGGGACCCAGTCTCCCTGGGAGGCTGCTGTTACGTGCCCACTCACAGCCTGTGGGGGCAGAGGTTGGGGGCCCGAAGAGGCCATGAAGTGCAAACGTCCAGCTCCATGCAGAGCCCTGAAGAGCAGGAAAGCCCAGAGGCCAAGTCAGCCAAGGTCACCAGAGGCCTGGGTAAGCGCTGCTCACAGATCACCCACTCAGGTGCTCGTCCCGCGCATGGAAACAGTTCAGTGAGCTCAGGCAATTGCACTGAACTCCCCAGAGTAAGTTTAGACCAAGCTCAGGCAGCTAGCAAACAAGTCATAATGAGCTCAGTTAAAAGACCACAGCCCCAGTGGTACTTAGGGACTCCAGCCCACCTCCTGTCACAGGCATCTGGCCGACAGGTCTGGGCACAACTCCTTTGCTCCTCAAGCCACATGTCCCTCAGCTTCCTTGATCAGTCAATTTTGCTCCTCTCCCACCACCTCCCCCAGTCTGGAAACCTCCGGTCCCAGGCCTCACAGTTCTCATGAGAGAAAAAAAAGCCCCTGTTGTGCACTGAAAAATTTTGCAATGGGCCAAGTATTTAATACACACTACTTAAATCTTGCACACAAAAAGGTATCATTGCCCATTGACAGGCAAGTAAATAGGAGCTGTGATTACTAATTTTATGTGTCAACTTGGCTAAGCTACGATGCTCAGATGTTTGGTCAAGCGCCAGTCTAGATACTGCTGTAAGGGTATTTTCTAGATGTGATTAACATTTAAATCAGCAGACTGAATAAAGCAGATTATCTCCCCTAACGTCAGGGGACCTCAGACATTTAGTTGAAGGCCTTAAGAGAAAAGACTGAACTCCTCCAGAGGAAGAAGGACCTCAGCCTGCAGGCTGCTTTGACATGCGAGACCACAACACCAGCCCTTTCCCTGGGCTTCCAGCCTGCCCGAGCGCCCTGCACATTTCAGACGTGCCAGCCCCCACAATCCCGTGAGTAAACTTTTTTCTGTATTAACTCATTTTTTAAAGGAGGTTTAACTTTTATTTTTACAATTTCAGTATTCCCATTATTTTCTACTCCGCCATCTTGACCGAAAGTTCAAAAATTCTTTAAAATAACCTCTCTCTGTGCACACACACGCACACACATGCACACACACACACACATCCTATTGGTTCACTCGTAAGTAGTCTCACCTGGCAACTAATGCAGAAAGGTCAGGAAAGACAACCTGCCAGGGTCATATGCCAAGTAAGAGGCAAGGCTGCCATTCCGATCAGACCAGGCCGGATGCAAAGTCACGCTCTTGAGCAGCTGCGACAATCCCCTTCATCTTGGACTGAGGGGCTTGCGTCCAGTGACGCCCCAGATCCAAGTGTCTGAGGGTCCCCACCTCCAGAGCCTCTCATGGGAAAGGCAGTGGGAGGGAAAGGTCTCATCCCTGTTTTCAAGGCTGCACCGAAGGAGCTGCTTCTCAGTCCTTCCGGTGTCACAGGGGCCACACTGGGTTATCACCTCTCCAGGGAGAGGATTTTATTAGTCTGATGGAGGTTTCTAACTAATCCCGCCATTGTGCACTGTGTAGGAGGGGCCCCGTAGTCCAGGAAACCGCAATTCACATGACACAGCGCCACCTACTGGTCAGTTAATAATGCCAAAGTCCATAAATGAACCTGATCACTTGAGGCCACTAGAGCGTTAGCTCCAGTTCACAGAAAGGCAAACAGAGCTTTTGCTTTCTACCCTTTCCAATCCATTTAATAACCTAAAAATTAAAAAGGGCCTTTCAAAATGAGATGCATCAAACATTTAACATCAAAAAGTATAACTCAGGATACACTGAATCAAGCAGAAACTTTTAACAGTTTTCCATTTAGGAGTCAAAGGGAAACAATTACCCTTTAGGAGGGTAATCTGTAGAAGGAAGGTGCTGCTGTTGGTGCAGATAACATAGTGATGTTAATTCTAAATAATGTTTTAAATTTACAGTCCAGTAGTCATCATAACTGCTTTATGTTTGCAAACAATTCTTTGGAAAACAAGGTTGCCTTAGGCCCAGTCCATGTGTTATTTCACCCTGTTTTAACAGTCCCAGGGTCTGAGACGTGAGATGGCGAGGCTGTTCCCCTGGCATGGCAGGATGTCAACTCCAGTGGCAGCAACAGCAAATTAAGAAGGAGGGACAGTGGCTTTCTCTCTCCAGCCAAGCCACCACTGCATGATGCCTGTGTCTACTTTACCTCAGTTTCCAAATTCTGTTTTACACTTGGTAGCAAAGGTACAATTTTATGTATCATGTTTATCTTTTGTGCAGGCAAATTATTACACTGAGTTACTACAGATAAAGAATATTTCACAAGCAGACATGGCAACAGTAATTAAAGTGTCTGTTTATTCATTCACAAACCTAGTGACATGAAAAGAAAACCTTAACTGAAATCTGCCCTGACAGAAATACAGTGCACAATGTCAATGCCGTGTTCATGGAGGGCAGGAGTGCTCAGTCACCCCGTGTGCCTAACATGTCAGCCTCCAGGGCTCTTGAGAAAAGATCCCATTTACCTAAGTGCCTCGCACGTCTTCAGGACCACCAGCTAACGCCGCACAGGGACAGAGAGGGCTGGACAGAAGTGCACATTTACACATGCAAAGAACGCATTACAGCACTTTACAGTAACTACAGTGGCACTCTGATACATCCCAAGAGTTGACCAGAGAGTAAAGTGTGAACTGTGCTGCTTAGAACACCCTTCACTGAGACGGGCTGTGGCAGCTTTCACACCCCCACACCCACCTGTTCTGGGGAAGGAGAGGCTGAGCAGGACGATGGGAACCCTCAGACTGAAATGGAGTTCCTTTTTGGGACTTCCTCTCTCCGCCCACCATGTGACAATCTCAAGTATAAGGCATGAGTATAAGGCATAGAAAAAAGATGTGCTTCAAGCCCCAGTTCCTGGTGTGCAATGGAATTCTTGGCTTAGATCTTTTGAAACAGATGTTAAAAATATTCTTCCCACCTCTTGTAATTACTGTCCTTGAAAAACAGAAAAAAGAGAAGGCAGAAAGAAGGTTTGTGAAGGATAGAAACAGCTGCATTGAAATATCGTGAGAAAAATGGCCCATAGAAATGTGCAATTCTGCTCTAAGAAGTCAAGAATCACACAAGGTATAACTCTAACATTTTATAGGAAAAGAGAAGTCAAAAACACTCAATCCTCTGGAAAAATAGTGCATGGGTGGTTACGAGAGCCTACAAGGTATAGGTCATCACTGACCATGAAAGAAGCTCTAGGACTTAGCGTTTTAAAGCAGAGACCAGAAATGGTGAGGAAACAGACAGAAATCTATGCAGCTTGTTCAAAACTTACTGCAGGTAAACAGATGAAATCAACACATTAAATGTCACTTCATTTCATCCACCATTTCCTACAGACAACTCGGTTTCTTCCAAATTTCCATGTGCTGAAATGGCGTGGGCCAGCTACCTGCCTCATCAAGAAAACTTGTGAAATTTTTCACCACAGACACTTTTGGGCATCGGGAAAGGCTTTCCCAAGAATATACCTCAGATTTGTAAGTTTATTGCCTCTTTTGGGGGAGCAGGTAGGTGACCCCAAACTTTAAGTCTTTAGCTAAAATATTAAAGTATTTAAAACAGAAGCCCAGAACGCTTTAAACTTTTCATGAAGCAGAACGTCAAGAGGCAGAGTTTCTGTTCTCAAGCAACCAGACCTCATGTGGACTGTCTTGTGGGAGTTAATTGGCTTTTGTGTGGTGTGTAAAGTATGCATGTTGTGGGCTGGCATGGTGTACAGGGGTCGCAAGAACTTCATTGCCACTTCGTAAAGGCAGAAGCCGTGTTTCTTGTGCGCTGCTAAATGCCATCACCCAACAGAGTGGCCACAAGAGGCTGTGGATACAAGATTGGCTTTTGTGGTGAGATGTACTTGAATCCAAAACAATGAGAACTTGAGTGTTCTCAGGGGCAGCTATGTGTGATGCTATTCATTCAAATAAGTATTTATGGGGCAATGCGGCAAACACTGTTCCAAGTGTTGAGAATACTGCCGTGCATTAGATTAAGGTTCTGTCGTGAGAAGGGCAGCGTTTGCATCCACTGGGAAAAGCAGAAAATAAACACTTAAATACTTTACATAGTGATGAGTTCTATAAAGGAAGGAAACAGGATGATTTGATAGTGAGCGGGTGACTTCTTAAAAGATCATCTGATTGGTTCTTTATACCGCCCGGAACTCAGATCCAGCCCTCGAGAGAAGGCAATAAAGAGAACGCCCGCGCACCCCACACTCCAGCGGGGCTGCTGCGCACCTCAAACATCTTTGTTGCACTTTCAGAAATTAACAGGTTACGAGGCTCAAGTTCCAAAGAGGCCTCTAGGGTTGATGTCTCCAAACAACCTTCATTTTCGCTGAGTAGACCCCAACAAGCCCCACGTGCAGGGGCGGGGCTGCAGCAGTGACGCCAAAGCACGCATGCGCGAGTGAGATTACGCGCAGACCTGCGGGAGCCACTAAGCGCGGATGGTCGCGCCCTCGCTTCTCCGGAACTCTGTTACCTCCAACCCGTCCCTTCCCAGTCCCTGTCCCCTCCCCCTTTCCGGACCCCTGGTGACTGTAGTTGCTGCTGCCAGTCTTTCTCTGGCCGTGGCGGAGCGCGGAGCCCGTGGGCGCCCATGAGGTAAGGAGACCGCCGCGCGGGCCGGCCGTAGCGCCCCGGGACCCCCAGTGTCCCATCTTTCCCCTTGGGTCAGGCTCAGGGGTGGTCCCAGCCGTCCCTCGTTTCCTGTGGGTTCTGCCTGGTTGTCTCGAGAAGGCGCGTCCTGGCCCCGGGACTCCGCCGGCCCGGGCCGAGAGTGGGTCCGCCTGACCTCCCTCGGCCTCGCGGCGGCCGTGCCCCCGCCGGGCGGGAGGGTTGTCCCGAGCTCGGGGACCCGTGCCCGGCCGCCGCGCACCGGCTCTTCAGGCGTTCGGGGTGACCTGGCTTCTGGCTCCCCGCCTGGGGCTCGCTCACCCCCGCAGCGCGATGAGGCTTGTCCAGCCCCGTCTCCCTCCTCTGCAGGTGGAATCGGTTTCCCGCGTTGAAACGTGCGGTGCACCTGGTGGGGCTGATGCGGAGTCCGGCGGTGAATTGCCTGGGAAAACCTAGGCTAGGGCGGTGTCTTAGTGTTTGTCCCCTTGGGTCCGATGTGAATGACACTCAGATTTGATTCAGGAATCTCGAAGTGCATTTTGCCCAAGCGTGTAAGCTTGACACACTGGAGGAGGACGCGGGGTGGGGCTGGGAGGTGGGGTGAGGCGGGCCCAGAGGCACCCTTTTCCGGTGCTAGGGACTTATTGACAAACAGAGATGCGGGCGGGGTGGGCGGGGTGATGGTGGCCGAGGTTGATGGAGGGGACATCCAGGTGCTAGGGATGTATAATAATTTCTTAAACTTGTCTGGTCACCTGGCCCACTTGTTGACAAATAAGCACCATGGACCAGCAGGATCAGAATCTACAAAGAAGGGAGCCTGAGAGAGTTGTTTTTTCAAGAGGTGTCCCAGGTGGTGCTTATGCTGAGGCAGGTGTGGGAAATGTTCCCTTAATCCGCCCGTAGTCTCCCAGTCTTCCCTGGGGCTGGCGGCGCAGGTGTACACAGCGTTGTGTTATTAGAGGAACAGCTCAGAGGGGGTTAGAGCTGTCTGTCCTCTTGCTCTTGTTGGTGTGAGCCGATCTGAGCACAGCCAGCCCCAGTATTGAGGTTTAGCAGAAATTCTTCTTAGGAAAGAATATTATGGTCACTTTATTTTTAAAAAATATAATTTATTTTGCCACAGGGAAGACGGAGTGAGTGCTGGGAGGAGGGGGGCTAAGTGGGGAAAATGGGGACTTCTGTAATAGTGTTAACAATACAAATTAAAAAAATATATAATTTATTTTAAACAAGATTATATTTTTTTCCTTAAGTTTCTTCTCTAAAGGCTTTACCTTTTCTGCTATCAAGTTCTGCCTTGGTTTTGCTGCCAAACCTACAAAAATAGACTGTAGCCCCTTCCTTCCTTTCACAGTTTGCATCCACTTTAATTTTTTTTTAAAAAGCTTCACCACTTACCGACATTTTTTTCCCCACCAGCAAATATAATATCACCCTCCTTTGCTTTCTGTCTGGTACTTTTTGAAAATAAAATTAAAGCATTTTTTTATATACAGTGTATTTCAGGTGTACAACATAGTGATCAGATCTATAACTTAGGGAGTGATCACCCCAGAAGTCTAGTACCTCTGTGATATCACACATGATTATTACAGTGTTACCGACTGTGTTCCCTGTGTTGTACTTGACATGCCGTGACTGTTCTTGTCACTGGCAATTTGTGCTTCTTAGTCCCTTTCCCATCAGTTTTTTTCTCTGTACCTACGAGTTTATTTTGTGTGTGTTTTTTTAGACTCCACATATAAATACAATCATATGGTATTTGTTTTTCTGTCTGACTTATTTTACTTACTAGCATAACACCTCTAGGTCTGTACATGTCACAATGAAAAGATTTTGTTCCTTTTTATGGATTTCGTTCCGCTGTATGCATGTACCACAGCTTTTTAATTTGTCTGTCTCTTGGCTCTTATAAAGATTGCTGCAGTGAATATGGGAGTGCATGTATCTTTTCATGTAAGTATTTTGGATTTCTTTGTGTAAATACCCAGAAGTGGAATTGCTGAATCATACAGTATTGGATTGGCCAAAAAGTGTGTTTTTTCCCCGTAAGATGGCTCTAGTAGCGCTTAGTTGTCTTTAACTTCATTGGAAACAATTCTGTTAGATTGTATTGTGACAGCTGTCATATCAGCATGCATTTAAAGAAAAACTTATCAAAATTGGTGAATTTTGTGCAGCCATTTTAATATTGGAGATGTAAGTGGGTCTCTAGTATGTATGGGTCATGTTTTTGGTTTATGGTTTTTAATCTGTTCTGGCACCCTGTGTCTTTTGAGTGGAGCATGTAGTCCAAAGACATTTTTTGTCTGTGTATTGGCTGTTGTCATTTTTTAAAATGATATTTTATTGATTATGCTATTAGAATTGTCCTGATTTTTTCGCCTTTGCCCCTCTCCACCCAGCACCCCCCACTCCTTCAGGCAATCCCCCACTCTTATTCATGTCCATGGGTCATGTGTGTAAGTTCTTTAGCTACTCCATTTCCTATGCTGTACTGTACATCCCCAAGGCTGTTCTGTAACTACCTATTTGCACTTCTTAATGCCCTCTCCTCATCAGTCATCCCCCCATGTCCCCCTCCCATCTGGCAACCATCAAAATGCTCTCCGTATCCATGCTTCTGTCTCCGTTCTTGTTTGCTCAGTTTGTTTTTTACATTCAATTGTTGATAGATGTGTATTTATTGCAATTATATTGTTCAGAGTTTTGATCCTTTTCTTAAATAAGTCCCTTTTAACATTTCATATGATAATGGTTTGGTGATGATGAACTCCTGTAGTTTCTCTTTGTCTGGGAAGCTCTTTATCTGCCCTTCGATTCTAAATGATATCTTTCCTGGGTTGAGCAATCTTAGCTATAGGTCCCTGGTTTTCATGACTTTGAATATTTCTTGCAAATCCCTCTAGACTGCAAAGTTTCTTTGGAGAAATCAGCTGACAGTGTTACGGAAACTACCCTGCAGGTAACTAACAGGTTTTCTTTCACTTGCTGCTTTTAAGATTCTTTATTTTTAAATTTTGGCATTTTAATTATGATGTGCCTGGGAGTGGGCCTGTTTGCATCCATCTTGTTTGGGACTCTCTGTGCTTCCTGACTTGCATGTCTATTTCCTTCACCAAATTAGGGAGGTTTTCTTTCGTTATTTTTTCAAATAGATTTCCAATTTCTTGTTTTTTCTCTTATCTTTCTGGTACCCCTATGATACCAGTGTTGGAACACTTGTTGTCCCAAAGGCTGCTTACTCTATTCTTACTCTTTTTTAAATTCCTTTTTGTTATTGTTGATTGCTTGGTTTTTGCTTCCTTATATTTCAGATCATTGATTTGATTCTGGCTTCATCACTCTACTGTAGTTTCCCTGAAAATTGTCTTTATTTCAGTTAGAGTATTCTTTGTTTCTGACTGGATCTTTTTATGCTGTTGAGGTCCTCACTAAGTTCCTTGAGCATCCTTATAACTAGTGTTTTGAACTCTGCTTCTGATAGATTGCTTATCTCCATTTCATTTAGCTTTTTTTCTGGAATTTTGATCTGTCCTTTCATTTGGGTCATGTTTCTTTGTCTCCTTATTTTGGCAGCCTCCCTGTGTTTGTTTCTATGTATTAAGTAGAGCTGCTATGACTCCCTGTCTTGGTAGTATAGCCAATGTAGTAGGTGTCCTGTAGGGTCCAGTGGCACAACCTCCCCTATCACCCAAGCTGTGCACTTGAGGTATGCCCTTCATGTGGGCTGAGTACACCTCCTCTTATAGTTGAGCCTTGATTGCTATTAGCATGTCAAATGGGAGGAGTTTACCCCCATTGCCAGTCAGCTGCAAGGACTGGCTATGACCACTGACCACTACCCTCTGCCCTCCGTGGAGGATCATCTGTGCAGGGGCAGGGTGGTGGTGCTCCAGCATGGTTGTTGCTGTCCACTGGGTTCACAGCCACTGGGGTTTCCCAGGTGGTGCGGGCCAAGGTCAGCCTCCACCTGTGTTCTGTCCAGGACTACCCTGCATGAACTAGAAAGCAATCTGCAGATGGCTGCTACTTGTGCTGGGCTTGGAGATTCCCAGGCAAAGCCAAACTGATATCCAAAGCTAGCTGCTGCTAGTGTCTGGCCTGAGGCCACTTAGCAGGAGGTACTAGGGCTGGTGGGTCACTGAGGCTGGCTGTTACTTATTTGATAGGCTTTAGGGAGTTGTGAAGCATGAGCCAAGACCAGCCATTCATATGGAAAAGCCACTGTTAACAGCTTGGATGGGCCTATAAGTTGGGTGGGGCAGAGCCTGTAGGGGTCTCCAGGGTGGGGCAAACAGTGTTAGCCAGGTCGATGGAGTCTCCCATATGGTACCAACCTGCCAGCTCTGTGTCTCTGTGTGGGGACGGTTCAGAAAAGGGACAGTGGCCTCTCCCATCTTTCTCTCTGGGAGAAAGCTGTCCCCCAGCTCTTGCCAGACACTTCAGCTCCTCCCTGTACGCCTCTGGTGCTTTTCAAGCTGCTACCCCAGTGCTGGAGCTCAGAGGGAGTGAGTCTGAGTGAGTCTGAGTGAGTCTGAGTAAGTTCGTGTGTGGGTTCCTCAAGAGGAACTGCTTGGGACTCTAGAAGTTTCTTCTGCTGACTCAATCCCCACTGTTCTTTTGCAGCCATAAGTTGTGCAGACTTATCTTCCTGGTACTGGAACCCTGGGCTGGGGGGCCTGGTGTGGGGCTGGGACTCCTTGTTCATAAGGTATCCCTCCCAAATTTTTATCCATCACATCTGGATATGGGACCATCCCATTCCACGTCTCTGCCTCTCCTGCCAGTCTGGATGGGTGGGTTTCTTTAATTCTGTACTTGTCAGACTTCTATTGAGCTTGATTGCTGATGGGTCTCAGTGATGACTGCTTTATAGTTTAGTTGCAATTTTAATGTGGTTGTGTGAGGAGGTGAGCCATGTTTACCTATGGCTCCATTTTGACTGGAAGTCTTCTCCATTGATATGTAATTTGTAATATTGATTTTTGGGGAGAGATAGAAACATCAATTTGTTCCACTTATTTATGCATTTGTTGGTTTCTTTTTTAAAAAAAAATATTTACTTAGAGGAGAAGGGAAGGAGTGCAAAACATTGATCAGTGGCCTCTTGTATGCCCCCAACTGGGGACATGGCCCGCAGCCCAGACATGTGCCCTGACCAGTCATTGAACCTGCGACCTTTTTGTTTGCAGGATGATGCCCAGTCTACTGAGCCACACCAGTCAGGGCATGTTGGTTATTTCTTGCATGTGCCCTGATTGAAGATCAAACCCACAGCCTAGGTGTGCTGGGACAATGCTCTAACCAACTAAATTGCTGGGCCAGGGCCAAAAGTAATTATGGGTAACGATGTAGTTATTGCCATATTTTTAACTGTTTTCTTATTGTTTTGTAATTTTCTATTTCTTATTCTTACAAGATGACTTTCTATAGTGTTGTGTTTGTATTCGTTTCTCTTTATTATATACATCTTGTGGGGTTTTTGCTTTGTGGTTACCTTGTACTTCCTATATGGCAAGCTGTGTTTATAGCAGTCTATTTTAAGTTGATGGTTACTTAAGTCCAAAGATTCTAAAATCACTACAATTTTTACTCATCGTTTTTGTCGTTACTTTTTACTACTTGTGTGCTTGTCTAAGTCACTTGATTTATTGTTGTAATTACACATGAGCCTTCTGCTTTTTGCCTTTTAACCTTGATATTACTTTCATGGTTGATGGACTGCTTTTATTACATGGCGGCCTTTGTCAGTGAGGAGTTTTTTCATTCCTGTATTTTCTTACTCATTTTTATCTTTTCTACTTAAAGAAGTGCCTTTAACATTTTTTGTATTACTGGTAAAGTAATGATGGGCTCCTTTAGCTTTATCTTGTCTAAGAATCTTTTTCTCCTTCTACTCTAATATAGCCTTGCTGGGTCGAGTAATCTAAGTTTAGGTCTTTGCTTTTCATCACTTTGAATATTTTGTGCCAGCCCTTCCCAGCCTGCAAAGTTTCTGTTGAGAAATCAGGTGACTGTCTTATGAGAGCTCCCTGGTATATAACTAACTGTTTTTCTCTTGCTACCTTTAAAGTGCTCTCTTTGTCTTTAATCTTTGGTGTTTTAATTATGATGTGTCTTGGTGTGGGCCTCTTTGTTTGGGACTGTCTGTGCTTCCTGGACTTGTGTGTCTGTTTCCTTTACCAGGTTAGGTTAATTCAGTTATTTCTGGAAATAGGTTTTCAATTCCTTGCTCTCTCTTTTCTGGTACCCCTGTGATATGAATGTTGGTCCCACTGAATGTTGTCTCATTTAAACTATGCTCATTTAAATTGTTTTCTTTTTGCTGTTTTGTGTGCTTTCTGCCTGTCTTCCAGACAGCTAACTTTGTTCCTCTGTGTTATCTAATCTGCTATTGATTCCCTCAAATGTATATTTGATTTCATTTATTATATTCCTCATATCTGACTGGTTATTTTTAAAAATGTTTTTGGGTTTTGCTCACTTTTTTTTTTTGAGATTTTATTTTTTTTTTATTTTTAGACGGAGGGGGAGAGGGAAAGAGAGGGAGAGAAACATCAATGTGTGGCTGCCCCTACCTGGGACCTGGCCTGCAACCCAGGCATGTTCCCTGACTGGGAATCGAACCAGTGACCCTTTGGTTTGCATGCTGGCACTCTGTCCACTGAGCCACACCAGCCAGAGCTGACTGGTTATTTTTGTTTTCTATCTCTGTTCAAGTTCTGAGTTCATCTTTTTTTCCCCTAAATTCATTGAGCATCCTTGTAACCAGTGTTTTAAGCTCTGTACCTAGTAGATTGCTTATGTGCATTTCATTTAGTTCTTTTTCCTAGTTTTGTCCTGTTCTTTCATTTGGGGTGTGTGTTTCTTTGACTCCTCATTCTGGCTCTCTTCATTTCTGTATAGTAGGTGTCTGTTATGGCTCCAGGTCTTGGAAGAATAGTAAGTGTCCTGTGAGGCCCAGTACTGCAGTCTCCCCTGTCACCTTAGCCAGGTGCTCTAGTGGTGTCCCTCATGTGGGCCGTGTACTCCTGTTGTAGTTGTGCTGATTGCTGTTGGCACGTCACTGGGGAGATTGAGCCTCAGGCCGACTGGCTGTGAGGGATGGTTGTGACTACAGTGGACAAGCTGTTGTGTGGGCACTGTGCGAATCACTTCAGCAGGTCTCTGGTACCAACCGAGTCTGCTGTGGGAGTGTCTCATTTGTGGAGCTGGTTAGGTGGTGCTCTGCTGTGAAGTTGACCACTGGGTATGTTGGTTCTTGAGCCCCTTGGGAGGAGCTCTGGTGCAGGTCAAGGTCACCCACTGTTTGTGCCTAGCATGGGGCCACCTGGTGGGAGCTACAAAGTGATCTGTGGTTGGTCACTGCTTGTGCTGGGCTTAGAGGTGCCTGGGAGAGGCTATGATGTGAACCAAGGCCAGCCGCCAGGAGTGCTGAGCATGAGACCCTTTGGTGGCCACTGCAATGTGAGCTGAGGCCAGCCATCACTTGTGCCAGGTTTGTGCTGCTTTGTTGAAGCTAGGACCAGGCCAGCACTGGCCGCAGCTTATGCCATGTTTGGGGCCACCTGATGCAAGTTGTGACCGGTCCCCACTTGTGCCTGGCTTGGGGCTGCTCAGCAAGAAGTACATGGCACACTGAGGCCAGCTGCCAACTGCTGCTCGTTTGGGGTTTGTGGATCTTGGAGAGATTTTTAGAGAAGTCCACAGTGTGAGCCAAAGCTGTCCACTTTTGTGGAAAAGCTGCTGGAAGCAGCCCATGCGGGGTGTTCAAGTTGAGTGAGTCTCAGGGACCCACCAGGGCTGGGAGTGGTGTTAGCAATGTTAATGGAGAGCTCAGATTTGACCCCTGCCTGCACTGAGCCATGAGCCCAGCCGGCTGGGTGGGAGGAGAGCACAAAAAAGGAACAAATGGTACCTGCTGGCACTTCTGACCTCTGCCTCTCCAGCCTGGGCCCTGAAACAAATTTAGTGTCTACTCTTATGTCTCTGGGAAAATATCATTAACACTAGTATCCAATACCATCATTTTTGTGTGGCGTGAAAACTTAATTTTCTCCTGTATTTGAGTTTTTGCAAAGACTAGTTTTATAGTTTAGATTTTTTAAAATTAAAAATCACTAATTGAAGGCAGTTGTGGAGCTTTGTTCATTTCTTAATCAGTTGAGAAGGACCTGAGCATATTACATGCTGAGAAGGAAACACTGAAGGTACATGCAAGAGGACAGGCGACGGTGCTGGGCTCAAGACAGTATCAACCCTAGGAAAGAAGGAAGAGGTGGTTGTAGACGCCCGGTGGTTTTGTAGGTGGGGAGTGGAGGAATGAAGTGAGACAGCTATCGGCTCAGAAAAAAGGAAGCAAGGAGATGGGGTCAAAGGTCAGGAGAAGAGCAGTGCCATGGATTCAGAATGCGGGTGTTTTGGGGTTTAAGATGCCTGTTTGAACACCCCCCCCGCCCCCCCGCCCCTCATACCATTCCTGGAATGTAATTGTGCACTCAGGTCGGTTACTGAATTTGCCTGCTGTTTTTAACCTTGGGAAAGTCTCATTTACAGTCTCAGGATGTGGCTCCTGGAGTTGTTTGTTTTCTGAAATTAAAGCACTGACCCGGCCTTTGCAGTGTTCCCTGAGAGTTGAGAATCGGCTGCAGATGCCTTGATTCTGGAACATGAGAGGTTCGATTTCGATGCCCCCACTCTTTCTTTGCCTTGGAACAGGGGTTCAGATCTACGACCGGACGAGTGTTCTTCACGTGATGGTCAAAAAAAGGTGAAGTTACTGGCGTGGAGACAGATAAAGGGCAGATCGAATGCCAGTATTTTGTCAACTGTGCTGGTCAGGTGGGTTAGCAACAAGAGGGGGTCTCTGGTTTTCTTTCTTACCTTTTATCTCCGGGACTTTTTTGGCGTAGAGACTTAAGACTGTCTGGTGACAAAACCAGACAGATGTCGGGGCCCACACCGTTTCCTGTGTGGGCTGGAAGACTCGGGGTTCTCGTCCTCCCCGTCAGAAGCCCGTACCGTCCCTCCAGCAGAGAGTGTGACCTTCTGCTTCCTCCCTGGGGGCACGGCGCTCTCCTGCCAGGAGGGCCGGGAAGCACTTGAGCATTCACAAATTCAGAAAGTTTAAGAGTCTAAAATGAGTTTGCCTCCCATTTGAATTGTAAAGAATATATATGTGGGCAAAAGTAGGTTTATAGTTATAATACAAATACCATAATTAATAAATAATACAAGGATAAATTCTTTTTAGAGGGGAAGGGAAGGAGAAAGAGAGGGAGGGAAACATCAATGTGTGGTTGCCTCTCCTGTGCCCTCAACTGGGGACCTGGCCCGCAACCTAGGCATGTGCCCTGACTGGGAATCAAACTGGCAACCCATTGGTTTATAGGCCTGCACTCAATCCACTGAGCTACACCAGCCACAGCAAGGATAAACTCTTCTGTTTTGCACACTGACAACTGTAAACCTACTTTACTATGGGAAACTTCAAACTTTTACAAGTGGACAGCATAGCATAAGGAAACCCCACCCACCAGCCAGCTTCGGTCTGGTGTCACCTGTGTCACTGTCCCCACCCCCCCACCCCCCCGGCTGCTCCCAGGTGACGGAGTGCGGACGGGCTGAGCGTCTGACTTTGCAGCTGTTCCCGCTTCGGGAACCCGCCCTGCCATGGCATCTCTCTCGGTGCCACGTGGGAGCCTCAGCACTGAGCCCCTCGAGATCCTTATCTGTGCCCACGGGTGTCATCTGCTCTTCCACAGCACCTTACCTCTCCAGAGAGTATCTTCCTTCTCAGTCTTCAAGCCAAGCACCTCGTAGGTGTGTTCCATGGTCCCAGTGAGGTTTCTGCTTTCTGGGAAATGGCCCAGCTGGCTCTTCTAGAAGCCCTCTTCCAAGAGATTCTGTGGCAGGAGAGGGAGTTGGAAGTTTTGAATCCCCTGAAGCTGAGGACTCCTTTGGCTTTGTTTTTATTGCTCAGAGCCCCTGCTGAGTTCTCTCCTGCGTAGGATGCCAGAGTTGGAGACCCTGGAGATCGTGAAGTTGGTGAACTGCCCCGAGACCTTCACACCGGACATGAGGTGCATCATGGGCGAGTCCCCTTTGGTGCAGGGCTACTTCGTCCTGGCGGGAATGAACTCCGCTGGCCTTTCGTTCGGCGGCGGAGCTGGCAAGTAAGTCTTTCTCACTCACGCTAGCTGAGTGGGCTTCTTCCTTTCTGGAATCACTTGTTAGAATGGCATGTAATGAATGCATTTCACCTGGTATGCTAGTAAGAAGATACATGTAATTTTAGCGCCTTTCAGGATAATTACCAGGGAAGGGCTGTCCTGATACTCCTGAAATGTCTTGTTCAAAATGTCAGGGTTGGAACTCCTCCTTTGGAGGTGGCCACGGAGACCTCAGGAGGGGTGTTTCTGTGCACCCTCTCGACTGTAACAGATGTGGGTCAGTAGTGAAACTGGAAATTAAAGATGTAGATTTAGAATACAAGGTGAAATTCTTACAGACATATTAATCCACCCATGGATTCCCAGATGTAGTTCCTCAAAAAATGGTTGGATCAATGGAGTAACAACTCCGGTGCGCTAGTTTGTGGGTGGTAGCTCAGTATAGGCGACCGCTGGCTGCCTCTCGCCCCATAGGTGTGGCCAAGAACGCACGCACTCTTGTTTCCCACACCACAGACACTGGCTCACAGGTACGTCGGGAGCAAGTCAAGAACCAGGTTCATGATATAAAGTCAGTCGTAAGGCAGGATGTTAAAGGTGGTGACGGAGACTTCAGGAGGAGGCATGGGGGCTCGCTCTCGCCAGCCAGGCCGCCACTGACTGCACGGGGGGTAGTGTGATGCCCGTGTCTGCTTCGCCTCGGTTTCCACATTCTGTTTACTTGGTAACACAGCAATCAACAGTTTTATGTGCATTGTTTATCTTTTGTAATGGCAAACAGATAAAAGAGTATTTCACAGACAAGGTAAGAGTACGTAAAATGTCTCTTTATTCATTTACAAACCTAGTGATATGAAAAGAAAACCTTAGCTGAAATCTGCTGACAAATACAGCGCACAATGCCGTGTTCACGGAGGCAAGAGTGCTCGGTCACCCCGTGTGCCTAATGCGTCAGCCTCCAGGGCTCTTGAGAAAAGATCCCATTTACCTAAGTGCCTCGCACGTCTTCAGGACCACCAGCTAACGCCGCACAGGGACAGAGAGGGCTGGACAGAAGTGCACATTTACACATGCAAAGAACGCATTACAGCACTTTACAGTAACTACAGTGGCACTCTGATACATCCCAAGAGTTGACCAGAGAGTAAAGTGTGAACTGTGCTGCTTAGAACACCCTTCACTGAGACGGGCTGTGGCAGCTTTCACACCCCCACACCCACCTGTTCTGGGGAAGGAGAGGCTGAGCAGGACGATGGGAACCCTCAGACTGAAATGGAGTTCCTTTATGGGCCTTCCTCTCTCCGCCCACCATTGACATTCTCGAGTGTAAGGCACGAGAACCTGGCGTGGAGAAAAGATGTGCTCCAAGCCCCAGTTCTTGGTGTGCAATGGAATTCCTGGCTTAGAATTTTTGAAACAGATGTTAAAAATATTCTTCCCACCTCTTGTAATTACTGTCCTTGACAGACAGGAAAACAAGAAGGTGGAATGTTTGCAAAAGATAAAAGTAACTGCATCTAACATGAGAATAATGGCCATGAGAAATGTGCAGTTTTCCAAGGAACAGACACTCTGCTGAAAGAAGTCAATCATATTATACAAGGAACAACAGTATTGAATGGACAAAGAAGGCAAACATACAAAAATACTCAGTCCTCTTGAAAAATAGTGCATTTGTCAGTGATGGGGGACTGCAAATGGGAGCCCCACACTGAAAATGAAGGAGCCTTACAACTCAGCACCTTAAAGTGGAGGCGTGGGGAGGTGCTGAGCGGCAGTCGCACAGCTTCTCACCAGTTACTACTGGACGTCGTCGTCAATGCGTCAACGTCTCACTGTTTCACCTACCATTTCTCAGCTCAACTGTGCTTCTGAACCCATGTGCCTAGAAATGCTGCTTGAAACGAAAATCCTTCCCTCGCAAGAAATTTCCCGTGTCATGTTGATATGTCTCTTAGGTCAAAGTTTGTGAGGGACTGGAAGGACGGGGGGTGTGGTACGGGGGAGAAAATGAAAACAGGTTATTCTTCAGTATTAAGCACTGCGACCAAACCTCTACCTTAGATACTAATGAGGATCCTTGGGACCTCCATTACCCAAGAAAAAACAAAGAGGAAAATGAACCTTGTAGCTACCCCTGAAAGCAAGCCAGTGCAACTGTTCTACCAGGAACAGCCTTCTAGCTCAGAACCGAGACCACAGGTCACAGAAGACGCCCTTTTATTGGCCTTGGGTTCTGAAAGGGCAGTGAAGGCTCAGGCAGACGCCAGCAGGTGTCCGATGCCAGAGCCAGAAGTCCAGAGCCAGAAGTCCGTGCGGGGAGTCACCCCTTGGTGATTGGGCTCTACTGCTGGAAGGGGGTAATCACTGAGCTAAATGGTCTTTGGGTCCCTAGCCTGAATGGCATTGCTCACATTTGGGGGTGCAGGGTCTCCCCAGAAAAGCACTAGCACTGTAGTACAAGTTGCCCCCGGTCTCCCCTGGAGCGTGTCCTGCCCGTGCAGTGCAGGTACCTGACTACGCGAGTTAAAGGACACCAGATGGGCCACCCAAGCAGGTAGTTTCTGTCCCTTTTTGCTCAGAGGTTTTCTGACTTCAGTGACATCACAGATGGGAAATCTTCCTGATGCAAGCCTCAATTTATGTCAAATGAACCGTGGCAGTGCCAAGAAACAGGACGTATGTGTGGCAGGCGTGACAAGGGGCTTAGAAGCTATGTCAAGGGAGGAAACAGGTGCGCAGGAGACTGGAAATCCTGGGGCTTCATCAGTTTGTGGCTAACACACTTTGCGTTTCTAGGTTCAAAAATGTTCTTCAATTGAGCGTGCGGACAAGCTAGAAGTGTGCAGAGCCCTCCCCAAGAGAGCACAAGAGGTAATGGATCATTTCTGAGAAAAAAGTACCAACCACCTAAAACTAAAGCCCAGCCCCTCAGAAGAGTCCGGAACCGCTCACACCCCTAGAAAGAGGTGAGTTGTCACACAAGACAAACACACATGGCACCACTGCCCCAGAGATGGAAATGACACGTGAATTAGATGTCTTGATTGTCAATTGTGCTAGAGGTGGGAAAGTCATCCCTTCAGATTTAGGACCAAATAGAGAAAACTACCAGATTCACATGCCTATGTTTGAACAAAGACTTCAAGGAAGAATTTTAAAGTGCCAAAAAATGTGTGCTTTGGGGTACTCAGTAAACAAGTGACGCCCTAGAAGAGCATCATCTTGTCAGTCTGTGACAAGATGAAGTTCATGCATAACTCTAGAAAAGATCACTTTGGAACGGCGCGGAGCATGTGATACCTTCAGCTCTGTATCACCTGTTTCCGTCTTGGGCCAGCTGCTGCCTGCTGCTCACATCTGCTCTGGCTCAGCTCCCCGTCCCTGCTCTCCAGCTGGGCAGCGTCTTCCCTCTTCTTTGCGTAGGAGCAGCATCTCTCACCTAGTTATGTGCACATTTGCACCAAAATAGCAAGGCCATCCAAGTGATTCTATCCCATGCTCCCTTAATGAATCATCTGAGACCTCCTAAAAAGCTGGACACTAATCAAGTAGATGTTGTCTGGCTGGGAAAATGGCAAGAAATGTCTGGAAGAAGGCAGCCTGGTCAGGTGGGTGAAAGAAAACCCAGAGCTGGCCAGCACCTGAAAGCTTCTCTACAAAACTTAGAGACCTATCAGAGCTAATGCTTCTAGGATGCCAAGAAAACAAAGGCTACAGTTTAATTAGTTACATCTCTAACAGCAGTTTATACTAAAAATCAGATTAGGGCAGCTTAGGAGCAAGGGAAAATTAAGTGTTGGGAGAGAGAACGCAGTCCGATGTCACTAAAGTCGCACCACTGGGAAAAGACACACTACTTAACTGTGCATGGCCCTCTGGGGGTCGCTCCAGGTCATTTTCTAGTCGGAAGGTACAGAGAAATGGCTGGACAGGGAAAGAAAAGATGGAAAGCATTCTGCTAGGCTCACATGGCATGCACCCTCCACACACAGAACTCTCTGGACCTGTCTCTTCTGTGCTGGAGGAAGCAGAAGAGCCAGCAAGGTTGTTACCGTTCAAACTAAGATATTTCCTCTTTCTCTACCCCCTGCCCAAATTTGGGAGGAATAATGGTTGTTAATGCTGCTGCTGAGTTGTGTTTACATTTACATTGGTAAATATGTTATTTGTGTTATTAAATATTTTACATTTTTTGCTTCAAAATTTTTTTTCCTATTTTCCTCTAAAAGCTAGGTGAGTCTTATGGTCCAAAAAATGCGGTGCTTGACCAGGATGACATGCCCCACCATGCCCTCCCTTTAGGGGAGAGAAACAGTTGCTGAGCTAGTGGGTCTACTGCAGAAGGGATGGTCCAGGACACCCATGAGGACAGTCAAGGTGGGGTGCCTGAACCTGGAGTAGCTAAGAGAGCAGCAGCACTGTTTTAACAGCAGAAAACAGCATGGTTTGGTGTTGGTGCTTTCTGAGGTTAAGACTTTCTTAAATAAAAGCAAAGGCAACATTGTTTTTCCCTTTCAAATACTGTGGCTTGTTTACTCAGCTAAACAAACAGAGCCCCTCATGATAGAGATGATAAAATTGGCAGGCAGGTGGCCCTGGCCTTGTAGTCTGATAACTAGTTTGGTTAGGGGGTAGGGGGCTGGGGACAGTGCCAGGCTGTCTCTGCTGCAGCCCAGTAACACCCACACGATGCCTCTCATCAGTGAGGTAGATGGTCATCTTGCTAGAGGTATCAAGGTGCCGACCCACAGCACAGAGGATCTGGGCTGTCACAAACCCCCAAACCCCCAGCTAACAGGCTACTTACTCCCTCAACACTTGGCCCCACAGTGTTGGATTCTTGCTCCGAGGCCACACACGCAGCAGCTTCCCAGCATTAGAAATCTGTCACCGCAACTCCCTCCCACAGATGGGGTCTGCTCCTGTGCTGCCTGTCAGACATGCTTCCTGTCACCATGGCAATCTGAGGGGTGGGGGGACGGACAAACAGCCCAGAGTGAGTGTTAGGAGATGGGGAGGAGGAGATGAAAGGACAAGAGAGGGTGCAAAGCAAAAAATTTAAAATTACATCAAGGAGGTAAGAGATGGGCAGCAAAGGTTAAATCAAGAAGAGGAACAGGATCAGGACAGGTTCTAAGAGAAGAGGGGGAGGTGGTGAAACTGCCTGATGTTACTTCCCCTGCAAGTCACTTAGCTCCACATCCTCCTTGCGGCGCTTATGCGTAAAGAGGGAGGTGACTGGGTAGAGCTTGGCCTTGGCCTGGAACCGGTGTCCCGCGATGTCAATCTCATACTCGCCCCGGTTGATGAAATCTGCTGTCACCACCTGCTCTTCCCCAGTGTCCTCAGAGAAGTTGTGCACAAAGCCCAGGCAGACGTGGCGCTCCAGTGTGTAGCTGTAGGCACTGCTGGTGGTCTTGCCAACATACTGCCCGTTTCGGTAAATGGGCTCCCCCCACCAAGGCCAGAGGTCCAGGTCTGTGTCGTGGTCGTCCAGGATGAACATAGTGAGGCGTTTATACACCCCATTCTGCCTCTGCTGCAGCAGGGCGTCTCGACCAATGAAGTCCATCCCCTAGGAAAGAAAGGCAACCCGGAATCATCATCTACACTCTGCCCGTCAACAGCACACTGGGAGCCGTCCCGTGTTGCTACGGTGGGGTGCGACACTCTTCCCACACCCCTGGGTGGGCTTTGGGGAAATGTGTTTCCCACCAGATGAAAAACTGCATTTACAAATTGCCTTCAGAGCATTTTTGTAACATCACAGGTACCCATGTTTCTTTTTCCTATTTTATACACACAGATTTCCATCACAAGACCACACAGAACAAAAATACTTAAAAACATCAGTACTCAAAAACATTTGCACAGCACTTCTGTATAATCTAAACAAAAAGTTCCATGCGTATGTTTATATGTGCATATGTACAAAAACAAGAGCAGGATAAAATAAACTCAGTAGTGATTCTCTCAATAAAATATGAATATTATGAATGATATAATTTTATATTTTCCCATTTTCCAAAATGAGCATTCATTACTTTTATAACAGAAAAAAAGTGGCATATCATTTCTCGGAAAGAACACCGACAGGGCATGCAGTGCTAGACACAGCGACCGCGCAGCACCCACGGCGCAGGTCACGGAGCGGGGAGGGGAAACTGTGCTCCTGTGTTGGTGCCACACGGAAGCTCTGAAAGGAGGGATGAGAAACTGCTGCTTCTGGGAAAGAGGGCAGTGAGATGAGTGGGGCTCAGGTGGAAAAGAGACTCACTGCACATCCTCTTGGATTATGATTTTTTTAAAAATCATGTTCATATATATTACTTCGATAAAAAATTAGGCAGTGGAATGGAAGGTGGACTAACTTACACAAATAATCATGGCATGTTACTGTATCACCATAACCCACTCAGAAAAACTTCCCCAGAAGGCAGGCAGTCTAAAAGAGCAAAGTCCTGAAAACGAGTGGTGTCTGTTCACCCCACAGATACGCTTTTCAGTCTAAGGACACCCTAGTCGTCCCCGTTCACCTGACGCTGCCACCGAGGTCTCGATGCCTCAACACTTTTCCTTCCATATCAGCTCCTCTTCCTGCTCTAACGCAGGTGTCCTGCCCGGGGAGGTGAGGGACAGCGCAGACCCCGTACCTTGTCTAATTTCACCCGAGACTCTCGTCCACATTCCAGAGGGGTGGTGAGGGTATTCAAATCCTGACCCCAGAAGGCAAAAAACTTCTCGATTCGGAGACTACGGAGAGCATAATACCCAGCATTCCGGATTCCATACTTCTGTCCAACACTCATCACTTCATTGTAGACGTGCAGGGCGTACTACAGGGAGAGAAGAAAGGTTAGTGAGCAGCAGACCTTCAGATTTCAGGAAGGCGCGTGTCTGCTGAGCCTGGTGGCCGACACTGTTAACCTGGACAAGGGGGCGGGTTCTGTAAAATTCTCACGATGTCTCATCCACAAACCAGAGTGCTACAACCCAGAAGTATGAGCCAGGGTCACCCTTGACCCGGACTTAAGCTCCATGAAAGCAGCAACCATGTCTCTTCACGTCTAGGGAAGTAACTCATAGCAGATATTAAATATATGTATTTATATATAGAAATCATTAAGTAATAATTGCTTAGATGCATTCATAGATGCATTCTCACTGCCCAGTAAATGATCAGTCTCACAACTGCTTCACAAATAGCCCGCTCACCCGCCACTGGCTTTGTTTTCTTGCCCCAGTCCCCTTTTGCACTGGTCACGCTATGAAACATGTTACGCATCACTCTGGATGTGTGCACCTGATATCTGGTTTTTCACAGATTACAGCGGCTCACAGAGACCCCAGATGAGGCACCGGGGAAGGAGCCAGGAGAGCAGAGCTCTCCCGCCCGCGTCCCACAACATCCTGCCTCTCACATTGCTCTTTTCTTGGTTCCAGAAACGTATTAAGTATCATAACTTAAATGAAAGTAAGTTTTCCAAATTGAAAGCAAAATTTTCAATCCCTATCTAAATATACTCTGTTACGTCTAAAGCCCAATAACAGACTATGCTGTTTACTTTAAAAACTGTAAAATAGAAGACAAAACAAGACACAGAATTAAGTCAGAGAAAGACAAACACTATATGATCTCACTTATATGTGGAATAAAAAAAAACCCATAGAAGAAGCGATCAGACTTGTGATTACCAGTGGCAGGGAGTGGAGGGAGGGGGAATTGGAAGACGGTGGTCAAAAGATGCAAGCTTCCGGTTGTAAGCGAAGAAGTAGTAGGAATGCAGTGTACACCCTCATGACTGTAGTTAACACCACTGCTGTATGGTACACAGGAGAGTTAAAAGTCCTACGAGTTCTCATCACAAGTAAAAATAATTGGGTTTTCTTTTTTGCTTTTTCTTTATTGTGTCTACATTAGATGATGGGTTCTAACTAAACAGCAGTAATCATTTCACAATCTACTAAGTCAATCCGTTACACTGTACACCTTTGTCAACCTCTATAGTGATGTATGCCAACTATATCTCAATGAAACGGGACAGGGGAGCAAGACAAAAATATCAGCTGCTTTGGTATTGTTATACTTTATCTTGGCAATGTACTCTGCTCTATAAACTTCACTACTGCAGCTGAACAAGCTGAACAAACCACTGTGGTCAAGACAACTTTAAATGTGGGAAAGGGGGCACCATCTGAATTAGCAAAGCTGGGGAGGAGACCAGTGGAGACTGGCAGGAAAAGGCGAATAAAGAGCCATTATCTCTGCTGGGCTTGGTGCTTTACCATCTCAAGCTGAATACTTGAGTTAAGAGGACAGCAAAGGAAGAAAGATTTAAGCAGGTGATTAGTTCTTGCTAGACAAGTGGAGCAGAGGGAAAAGTGGGTCCCCATCGTTGACTCGTTTCCTCACTAAATGCTGGGAAAACCACAAGAGTGGGACCAGTCCAGGAAAATCATAAGGCAGAAACCGGGGCCTTCCACAGAGCCACTCCTCCAGATGGGGTTTGGCCAATCAGTGACTTTGGGAACCCAGGCAGTATGGCCCTTCGGAATCAATCCCTGTCCATACAGGCAAAACGTACCAGCTACATCTGGATCAACTCTAATTAAATCATGAATAATCCCCTCTTAATATTTTTATAATATTTCTGAGTGTAGAAAAGCAGATGCGATTTCATGGGCAGATAAGTCTGTGCTTCATTCAATGATTAAAACCTAACACTAGGGTAGCAGGAACGGGGAGTAGAAGGAGGTGGAAGAGGTTGCAGAGGGGATAACGGTAATGGGGGAAAATACAGTAAAAACTGAACTGTTAAAAAAAAACCAGCACTGCGAGTAACAGGACTGATGTTACGAACAGGCCAAGGGCGCCCACAAGCACTGCTACCTGTCACAACGGGACCGGGAGGGAAAGTGTAGGAAAAGAAGCTGTTAAAGAAAAACTATCTTTATATGGTAAGACTGAACCCTGGAAATTCCAGAGAATCAACTAAAAAACAACTATAAACAACTTAGTGAAGACTTAGGTTAAACAATCAATATACGGGGAAAAACAGCTTTCATATATCATAATTACTTAGAAGGTAATGTAACAAAGACATCTTTCCCATTCGCAATAGCAACAACAAATATTATTCAAATAAACAAGAAACGTAAAACATCTACATGAAGAAAACTTCAAAATACCTCCAAAGGTTACCCCCCAAAAAAGTGAATAAAAAATAAAACATACTTTGATTGTGAGATTCAACACATAAGAATGTCAATTCTCACCCTGGCTGGTATAGCTCAGTGGATTGAGTGGGCCTGTGAAGCAAAGGGTCGTGGGTTCGACCCTTTCCCAGTCTGGACACATGCCTGGCTTGCAGACCAGGTCGCCAGTAGGGGGTATGCGAGAGGCAACCACACATTGATGTTTCTCTTTCTCCTTCCCTTCCCCTTTCTCTAAAAATACAGTCTTTAAAAAGAAAAAAAAATGTCAATTCTCTGTAATTTATAAATGTAACACAACCCAAAACACAGGGTGTTAACTAAATGATTATAAAGTTCACAGAGGAAAAGAAGGAAACAGGAATCGTTTTTCTTTTCCAGAGTGTTCTAAGCTATGATGGAGGATAAGCACTTACAAATATTAAAATATATATAATGGCAAATACAGCAAATCAAAAGACAAATGGAAAATTGGCAAAACAAATTTACAACTCAGACTTCTGGCCAAGATGGAGGCATAGGTAAATATACTTTGCCTCCTCGCAAAACAGGACAATAAATTAAAAACAAAAAACAAAAAAACAGAAATGCCAGAAAATCGAACTGTATAGAAGTCCGAAAACCAAGGAGTAAAAGAAGATTCATCCAGACTGGTAGAAGGGGCAGAGATGGAGAGAGGACGTGCAGCAAGGTGGAGGCTGGAAGACCAGGACGGTCCCACATTTGGATGTGGGTAAACTGGGAGGAGCAAGTGGGGAGTGAGACAGACTGCACAACCCAGGGTTCTAGTGCCAGGAAATAAAGCCTCAGAACCTCTGACAGTAAAAATCTGTGGGGGTTGGGGTGGCAGGAGAAATTCCCAGACTCACTGGAGAGACCCACCCACCAGGGAATCAGCACCAGGAGGGCCAAATTTGCCTGTGGGCAGCAGGGGGAGTGATTGAAAGGGGGCCGAGAGCCATGTAAACAGCACTGTTCCCTCTTGGACCCCTTACCACAACACAGCAATGTGGGTTACCCAGCCCTGGTAAATACCTAAGGCCCCGCCCCTTACTACTTAACAGACACACATGGGCCAAATGAAAGAGCAGATCAAAGCTCCACAAAAAAGACAACTAAGCGATGAAGAGAGAGCCAGTCTACCTGATACAGAGGTCAAAACACTGTTAATCAGGATACTCTCAGAAATAGTTGAGTATGAACACAAAATAGAGGAAGAAGTGAAGGCTTTGAAAAGTGAAATAAAGGAAAATGTACAGGGAACCAACAGTGATGGGAAGGAAACCGGGACTTGAATCAATGGTTTAGACCAGAAGGAAAAAATAAACATTCAACCAGAACAGAATGAAGAAACAAGAATTCAAAAAAAAACGAGAGGCTTAGGAACCTCCAGGACATCTTTAAATGTTCCACCATCCGAATCATAAGGGTGCCAGAAGCAGAAAAAGAGGAGCAAGAAATGGAAAACTTATTTGAAAAAATAATGAAGAACTTCCCCAATCTGGCAAAGGAAATAGACTTCCAGGCGGTCCAGGAAGCTCAGAGAGTCCCAAAGAAGTTGGACCCAAGGAAGCACACACCAAGGTACACCACAATTACATTACCCAACGATAAAGATAAGGAGTCTTAAAAGCAGCAAGAGAAGAAAAAAGTTACCTACAAAGGAGTTCCCATAAGACTATCAGCTTGTTTCTCAAAAGAAACCTTGCAGGCAAGAAGGGGCTGGAAAGAAGTATCCGAAATCATAAAAGGCAAGGACCTACACATCCAAGATTGCACTATCCAGCAGAGCTATCATTTAGAATGGAAGAGCAGAGAAAGTGCTTCCCAGATAAAGGCAAGTTAAAGGAGTTCACCATCACCAAGCCCTTATTATATGAAATGTTAAAGGGACTTATCTAAGGAAAAGATGATCAAAAATAGGAATTAAAAACTCACAACTATCAACAATTGAACCTAACAAAAACAAACTAAGCAAACAACTAAACAGGAACAGAGTCACAGAAATGGAGATCACATGGAGGGTACCAGTGTGGAGAGGGAGAGGGGAGGATGGGGGAAAAGGTAAAGGGAATAAGAAGTATAAATGGTAGGTACAAAACAAGTCAGAGGAGGAGGTTAAGAATAGTATGGGAAACGGAGAAGCCGAAGAACTTCTGTGTACGCCCCACAGACATGAACTAAGGGTGGGGGAGTGCTGGTGGGAGGGGGTGCAGGGCAGAGGGGAATAAAGGAGAGAAAAGAAATGGGACAACTGTAATAGCATAATCAATAAAACATTTTTTTAAAATGCACAACTCAATGGCAAGGACTGAGAGAATGCCTAAAAACTCATAAAAAGATCGATAATTCTATACAGAAACAGACAACGGATAGGGCCAGAACATTCATTCATACATGTGTTAAGCATTTCTCTATGCCCAGTACTTACTTCTCTAATGTCCTGGGGATATAAAAGTTAAAACAGATAAATATCTCTGCCCTCAGGGAACTTACATTTAAATGTGTAATCTGAAGAACAAAAGAAAATATATCTTATTAGACAATGGTAAGCACCATGGAGAAAAATAAAACATGGAAGGTGAATAGGGAGAACTGGGTGTCGGGTTGCAAGTTTAAATAGCGTCATCAAGAAGGTAACGTGAATACCTCCAGAAGCAGTACAGCTGTGAGCTTGGGAGTATCCGTCTGAGGGAGAAAAGGATGCACCAGGGGAAGGGGAACAGCAAGTGGAAAGGGAAGGAGTCTAGCATGTTCAAAGACTAGCAGGAAGTGAAAGGCAGAGAAGACAGGTCAGATACGATCAGGAGAGAACAAGCAGAGAATGGTGGACAGAACTTGTGTAGGCTCTGTAGATGATGCCAGCCTGCGAACCAAAGGGTCGTGGGTTCGATTCCCAGTCAGGGCACATGCCTGGGTTTGGGCCAAGTCCTCAACTGGGGGCACATGAGAGACAACTGAACATTGATGTTCTTTCCCTCTTTCTCCCTCCTTTCCCCTCTACCAATAAATACATAAAATAAAAAAATAATAAAAAAAAAACTGCACTGACACCCTGGCTGGTGTGGCTCAGTGGATTAAGCCCTAGCCTGTGGACTGCTGGTTCTAGTTTGCTGGTTCTGTTCCCAGTCAGGGCACATGCCTTGGTTGCAGGGAAGGTCCCCATTTGGAGATGTGTGAGAGGCAACCGACTGATGGATCTCTCACACATCAATGTTTCTCTCTCCCTCTCTAGAAGTAAACATTTTTTTAAAAAACTGCACTGATGAACTATTTTGTACCTATCAGTCTAAAGTTTGGCATCTTCACGTGTTAGTACATGTAATGAGGAACAAGACATGGTTTTTTTCCTCCCCTGAAGACATGCTTATTGATTTTAGAGAGAAGGGAAGGAAAGGGGGAAGAGAGGGAAAGAAGCATTGAAGTAAGAGAGAAGCATCAATTGGTTGCCTCTCGTACTCACCCCAACCAGGGACTGAAACCATAACCTAGGCATATGCCCCGACTGGGAATCAAACCTGCGACCCTTTGGTTCACGGGACAACACGCCAACCAAGTGAGCCACACTGGCCAGGGCAAAAAGACACTCTTGTACACTGAACAATTTTATAATAGCAAGGGACTAGAAACATCATAAATGTCTATAGTACCAGACTGGTGAAATAAATTGATTCAACTATGTAATAGAATACTATGCCACTATTAAAAAATAAAGGAAAGAAAAAAGAGGAAGCTCTTTTTAGGTACTCCTAGGAAAAGATCTCTAAGATAAATTGTTAAGGAAATAAAAGAAATAACAGTATGTTTCTGTTTGTGATTCTAAAAACGGGGTTAAAATGTCTTAAACTTGCTTCTATATGCTCAGAAATCTCTAACATGACATAAAAACTAAGATCGCTGGTGGTAGTTGGTGGGAACTGGTCAAGTACAACGGAGTATTTTGGATTTTTATTTTTAAACCATGTGAATGTATTACCTATTCAAAAAAAAGTAAGTAACTTAGCCCTGGCTGGTGTGTATCTGTAGATTGAGTGCCAGCCTGCAAACCAAAGGGTTGCCAGTTCAATTCCCAGTCAGAGCACATGCCTGGGTTGTGGGCCAGGTCCCCAGTAGGGGTGCACAAGAGGCAGCCACACATTGGTGTTTTTCTCCTCCTCTTTTTCCCTGTCTGAAAATAAATAAATATATAAAACAAAAAGTAAATAATTTTACAACGTTAAAATTTCTAGCACAGCCTGTTCGATTACCAAGGTGCAATGAGACACGGCTCTGTAGCCCAGCCAGTGCTCAGCAAGGTGTGGGGCAGCCGGCGCCCCTTGCTTCGGTGCTGCTCACCTCTATGGGGATGTAAAGCATGAAGCCCGGCTCTCCCGTGTGGGTCATGCTCATCACCCGGATCCCATTGGCATAGCCCACGCTCATCTCCTGTGGAAATAAAGGGAGAGTCAGTGTCAAAATTCTGATGGAAGTGGGATGGATGCCTGAGGTAAACCCTTCTCTCAGCTCTGCACCCTTCAACCCTAAAGGAGAGATGTGTGAGTGAAAGAATTTCATCCTCAAGAGTGGTCTGTTTCTGGGGACCAATTTATTAGGAGAGGAGCACGGCCTCTACAAGGTCTCTCCTCGTGACTACCCTCCGTTTCAGGAGTGCTAGCCAAGCTGCTGCGGGGCAGTGGAGGCCAAGTCTTTGACAAGCATGAAATAGTACTTTTTGCAAAGTCCTGTTCGAGATCTGTTTTAGTCAGGTGTGTCAGGGGGCAAATGTCGCCTCAGGGGATCTCAGCAGTCCGTCCTGGGCACCTGCCCACAAAAGGTGATGCCTGATACGCACAGAACGTGGTTCACCTGCTGCCCTGGGGTCTGAGACCGTGCTTATGATGTTCAAAACCTGTTCACAGCAGCTCGGTTACCTGTCTCAGTTACTGTTCCCACAGAGGAGGGAGCCAAGTCCCACATGGCACTAAAGCAAACAGCTGCCACGGGACGCCCAGTGTCAAATGGCACTCTGCAGAACACACATGCGCATCGCTCCCCCCAGACGCCAAGCGTGTGCTGTGAAGGAGTCACTAATGGCTACGGGGGAGTTTTCTGTTGCTTTCGCTCTGCCATGGAGAAAAAGGAAAACTATAAAATCAATTAGTAGGTGGATCCCAGCTTCTGTCTGAATTGCAAAGAGCCCCTTCTCAGTAACTGTGCCAAGCTGCTTGTGACAGGTTGACAAAAACACCTGTCTGTTAGGACTTCCAATCAGCCACTGCCTAGAGTATTCAGTTATTTCTTTCATTCAGTTACAATTTGTTCACTTATAGTTGTTGAGTAAAAGAAAGAAAATTATGTAGATTGTTCAGGGATTTACCCATACCATTAGTACCTGAAGATGCCACAAACACAGACGCTCCTCCACCGCTGGGTACAAAAAGGAGGAGGCCCTGCATGGGGAGAAGGACCTGACCCGGACGTCTCTGGCGTAATCCTGCAGCTTAGAATTTTAATCTACTGCTATAGAAAGCAATAAATATATAGAACTGATATTCTCAGAAGTTAAATCCACTTCAAATATATCCTAACACTTACTAATAAGGAGACCTGGAAGGGTGAAAAATAAAGGAATTTATTCTGTCATTTTATTTACTTAATAAACGTCAACACACTTTGGGGGTGTTACCGACACAGTAAGAACATGTGATTGCCATCTATAAAAGACACTCCCCACCCACTTAGAAGCCAGAACTTCACTAGCACCTACCTTGCAAAAGAGACTTGGGAAGTGGTCTGGAGTCATTGGTGCATAGGACAGCTCGGACAGCACATCCACAGCTCGAGGGCCAATCAGATTGAGGGCTAAACAGAAAAGAACAAGAGATGTCTGGCTGTTCCAGGTGAACAGCCGAGCTAATGAGAAAGGTCTGTTGTACACTTGCTCACCTATGACCAGGCCCAGGTGGCAAGACCACAAATATGTCTCTTTGCTTAGGCAAGCCAAGGGGTACCTGATTTTGGCAGACACGCCTCTCTCGACAGGCCTGCTAAATGCTGACTACGAGCAGGAGAGGGTCTGCCCGACTAGAGTTTCCTCTTCCTGGGGACACAGGAAGGCCACATTCATTCCATAACTTCCTTTGCAGTCAGATGGGATCATGAGACCAAGCCCTGACCAATGAGACAGGACCCCACTTACAGGGCCAGCCATAACCGCGCTGCACGGTTCCCTTCCCCTCATCTTCCCTGTGTGGCTACATGATGGAAAAAGCCCCAATCCCAAATCGGGACCAGGAGGAGAGCCCTGAGAGGAGCTGCCCAGTCTCTCTGGACTCTCACGTTTGTGACAGCAGCTTGTGCCACCTGCACACCAGCTACCTTCCTATGGGCCTGAACACAGCTTTGGTTCAAGATGATTCTATAGTTTGCCAATCTGGTAGCAAGAGTTTATCATATTTGCTGATATGATGGGTTGAGAATGAGGGCCTGGTGGGGTGAGCGGCAGGAATAGATTAAGGAGAGTAGATGGAGGGGCTAGACATGGAATGGGGTGGCATTAGAGGAGGGCTGCTCCCCTAACAGAACCACTGAAATAGGAAATTAAGGTCATCCTTAAAAATTATTCACTAAAAAGCTCTGGCTGGTGTGGCTCAGTAGATTGAGCGCCGGCCTGTGAATCAAAGGGTCGCCGGATCAATTCCCGGTCAGGGCACACGCCTGGGTTGCAGGCCAGGTCAGATCCCTGGTAGGGGGGTGCACAGGAAGCAACCACAGAATGATGTTTCTCTCCCTCTCTTCCTCCCTTCCCTTCTAAAATAAATAAAATCAAAAGCAAAGATGCCCTAGCTAATGTGGCCCAGTTGGTTGGTGCACTGTCCTGTAAACCTAAAGATCACAGGTTTGATTCCCAGTCAGGGTACATGCTTAGGTTATAAATTTGGTCCCTGATTGAGGTGCGTATGGGGCAGCTGATTGATGTTTCTCACGTCGATGTTTTTCTCCCTCTCTCTCTCTCTCTATAAAGTCAATAAGCATGTCCTTGGGAGAGAATTTTTTAATGAAAGCTAAGGGGAAATTTTGAAAAAAAAAAAATAGATAATATAAAAATGCTTTAAACTGTAGAAAACAAAACAATGAAATAAAAAAGAAAAAGTAAAAATTATTTACACATTCATTCAACCAATATTTGCACTCCTACACGCTATCTGTAGGGGACACAACGGTGAACAAAACAGTGATTCAAGAACTCATCCCATGCTTCACTGGAAAGACACGGGGCAGTATGAGAGCTCAACTTCCATCACCAGAGAGCCTCCTCCATGCTTCTAGTTCTGACAAAGCTGGATCACCTGGCCTGTCCTCACGCAGTGACCCCAGAGGACCCCCAGAGGGAAATACCAGTATATTTCCAGGTGACGTCCTCCAGAAGCAGATCGCTGTCCTGCGGCATGTGTTTCTTAAGCCAGGCCCAACAGTGGACCTGCTGGTCAGTTGGAGAAATCATGAAGAAGCTGAAAGTGAGACCCACAAGTCATCAAAACCAGGCAGCAGAAAAAAGGATCAGGAAGCAATCAAGTTCTCAGCAGTTTCAAATCAGTAAGTAGAACACTGGCAAATGAGCTCTTAGCTTTCAGAGAGCGCCAGCAGCACAGAATCCTAGGATACACCCCACATAAGGAGAAATAGGAGGCTGGTTTCTGTTACCATACAGCCCTACTGATGTAAGACATGACATCTCCCAGTAGGGCAACTAAGTTTTCACATCGGGTTTTACATATCTGTTGCGTTTTTTTCTTTTTCTTCCCTAGTGATTTCTTTTTGTATTGGGCTGCTAATGAACTGGTGATGAGATAATGAAATATGTTAGTCTTTGGTATAATTCTGGTTTCCTGGAAAAGTGAGCTGGGCACTTTGCTCTGCCACAGCACCCTCAGGGAGCCAGTGCTGGAGGGCGCTGGCAGCGGCAGCTGACCTCACCTGCGCTTGTTCAGGCGTGCTATGCTGCAGTCATTCTCGTAGCCGCCACCCTCGTTGAGCATGCCAGTGTGCACGATGTGGCCCACGGGCACATCAAGGTCATTGGAGAAGAGGTACTGTAGGGTTTCCAATGCCTGATCTCCACTGGACTGTAGGGTTAAGAAACAAAGCAGAGAGAGCACAAGATCATTTGGCTGGTAACACGGTCTGATGGGCAATGTGACTTACTAAGAAAATTCAGTTAGCCCCGGCTGGTGTGCCTCCGTGGACTGAGTGCCAACCTGCAAAGGGTTGCCACTTCAATTCCCAGTCAGGGCACATGCCTGGGTTGCGGGCACACGAGAGGCAACCACCCTAATGCTTCTCTCCCTCTCTCTCCTTTCCCCTCTCTCTAAAAATAAAATCTTTTAAAAAATAAAAAGATAAGACATTAAAATATACAAGTTCTTAAAGAATCAGTTTTGAGGAGACAGATGAAAAAAGGAGGCATTCAATAAATATGTACTGTTTCCTAGTCTGTTATATTGGTCTCCAAATACTTACTGTTATTTCAAACTTTGTGAAAGAGGACATGTCAATGACACACACGGCTTCCTTACAGCACTTGACTTCAGACTCCACAATGTCAAACCAGTCTGGCTTATAGAAAGTCTTGCTCTGCTCCAATGCCAGGAGGTCTACAGAACAGAAAAACAAAAGGAAGAGAGAAAAGGAGGGAATTTATACTGGGGGTGAGGGGGATCTCCCTATCTAGTTTAATATAACAGGTTTTTATTATTTTTCTTCCAGGAATACATTCTAGCTATATATATTTAAAAATAAGTTTTATTAGCCCTGGCTGGTGTGGCTCAGTGGATTGATTGCCAGCCTGCAAGCCAAAGGGTTGCCAGTTTGATTCCCAGTCAGGGCACGTGCCTGGGTTGCAGGCCAGGTCCTCAGTAGAGGACATAGAAGAGGCCACCACACATTGATGTTTCTCTCCCTCTCTTTCTCCCTCCCTTCCCCTCTGTCTAAAAATAAAAATAAAATCTATCTTAAAAAATAAGTTTTATTAATTCTCAAGGCAAAAAAAAAGTGAGCAAAAATAAAAATGTGATGTTTACCCTTGTCTGGTGGCACAAAGTACTTTGGCCTCTCAAATCCATGTTTTTCCATCCATCTGGCTCCTTGTGCATCCAGTCGGTCATAGAGAGGAGATGTGCGTAACTGCCTCCCCGTCTGAAAGTCCCAACGGGGAACCTTCAAATCATATAGCAGAGCTAGAACAGATCAGAATAGTCTATGGAAGCCCAACCACAGAGCTGAGCACCCACTATCCACTAGACTCGGAAGTTGCTCCTTTTCAACAGAGCATTCTTTCCAGGCTAATGCAGCAAAATTTGCCGAACAGGACCCAGTATCACAGGCGTGCTCCAGAAGACAAGGATAATGCTGTAAGAGTCGGTGTCACCCGACTCTTACAGTTACACAGCTATAAAGTCACACGATGACTCCACATCTCTGTGCACAATTACGGTTCCAAATTAGTAGGGAGAAACAATGGGAGAAAGGTCACAGTTTTAAACTTTGCTAAGCTCCATAGAAGAGATGAAGGTGATACTGAGGGGTCACAGGTGTTTACAAAGTATGAAAAATGGCACTTGCTTCTCTACAGTGCTTCTGTTGTCGGGATCTCAGACCCATACAGACATCTCCTCTCCAATGTTTAACCCATTTCTGAAGTGATCGGGCACAGAGCATACCTTGAATTGGTGGCTCTGAAATCTGACAGGTTGCATAGTATTGCCCCAGTGACATTATTCACATAACAAAGCTAGAGTCAGAATTCATTTCTCCTAATGTCCAATCTGTAACAGCAATGAGTAAAAATAGCCAGAAAGAGTATGATATCTAGTCCCTTCCAAAGAGAAGACCTGACCTCACCCATTCCACACAGGAAGAGCATCGGGGCTGTGGGGGAGGCTGGGAGAATAAGAATCAGGACACCACGCAGGTTTTCTGACACTGTGACGATCTGTCAATCTCTGGTATTTTTAGGTTCTGCTTCCCCCCTCCCCACTTTCTGTCATGCCTGCAATTTCTGTTTTATGAGAATCAGAAAATGCCACCAAACACATATTATCAAGGAGAAATTCAAGCTCAGTTATGATTTGCACAGGTTCTATAGTAGCTGTGGGTGGGGACATCTAGACTTACGACAGTTCAACGTTTTAACCAGAGTACTTGCTAATAATTAAAGAAGCTCAGCAGTCACACGCACTGCTGCCAAGGCCTCTGTCCCCCACAGCCCAGCGTTCCGACTCAGGCCACGCCGGTGTTAAAGGTCAGCCAAGTGCCCATCGTGAAGGGAACCTCCAGCTACTAAACCAGCAGCTCGTTCTTAATAAAGAACAGTGGTCACAGCCAATACAGAGACTTGGTTCTGAGCATAAATATGCCCAAAATATTTAGACATATTTTGGCGAAGTCTGAAAATAGTTCCTCAGTATAAGAAAAATGAAATGACAATCTGATTTGGTTCAACTCCTGATACAAAAGGTAGAAAGTAAATGAGAAACAAGGCAGAGTAGCCTTGAAATAAAGAGACCGATCCTTCCAAGATGGAGGGAAGTAAGAACACGGAGAAAGACGGCAGGAATGTATGCTTTGTACATACATCTGAAGCGGTTTCCTATCTTACCAGCATATCATGGATTCATGACAAAAGTCACTCAGAGAAGCTTGAAGCTTTGAGAATAACTTAGCAAGTTCTCTGCCTTGGAGGGCAAACCATGGTCCCAAAGACCCGGTGGGGACCGCGGGCACTCACAGTGGCAAAGGGAATCTTCCCAGGCACAGTGGGGAGCAGGCAAGGCTGGGAACGTGAAAGCTGCTGCTGCCAGAACCCGACAGGAATCCCCACCTGTAAGTCCTATTCCCCTGCCCTGCCCCCGGATGTGAACAGCTACACTGCACGCAAGAGAAAATGGTCTGTAAATATCACGTGGAGCACAACGTCCCAACACGGGCCCGAAACAGTCAAACACTGGAAGCTCAGCTTGAAGCAATTATTAAGAACTGAGGAAAAACCTGTTTCTTTGAGTGAGAACAGAACCAAATAATGCACCTGCAGGCAGGTGCGACTGGGATAAAGCTTCACTTACGCATGACTTCCATGACCCGGTGGCGCAGAAAGGTGCGGCTGCTCTGCAGGGCTCCGAAACGCTTCAGGTCCAACTCCCAGACGCTTTCTGAGGGATAGCCATGCACCATCCATTCGGCGAGGTACCTGTTTGGGGGGGCGGGATGACAGTTGTTGGGCCGCACGTGTGACTCTCCTCAACACTGGACCAGGAATCAAGAAGCAACAGGATCAAACGTCCTATCTTGTCAGGAGCCGGTTCAGAGATTCTGGGTAACTCGCCCACCTGCTCCGGAAGAGACAAACCTGGACCCCGCTATGACCGCTCTCACAAGACCACTACAAGGGTTTCAGCCCTAATGATAAGGTTCCCTAGAAAATGTTTAAGACACAGGCCCATCTAGGAAGACATAAGACTAAAATAAAACCAAATGCATTCTCCTTCACACATCCAATGCGTTTTTTTCTGTGAAACACTCTGCTCAGGAAGGTGTACGCTATCTGACCACACCTCCTCTGCACCAAAGGCTTTGGGAACTCCACTTCCGTAACTGTTTTCAGAGCCATTCTACAATTCACTCTAGAAAAAAGATCACAGTAGTTTAAAAAAAAAAACAATTTTTAATTGTGGAAATATACATAACAAAAATGACTACCTTAACCACTTTCAGGTGTAAAGTTCAATGGCATTAAGTATATTCACATTACTGTCCGACCTTCACCACCGTCCATCTCCCAATTTCTTCTCACCTTCCCAGACTGAGCCTCTGCGTCCATGAAGCAGTCACTCCCCACTCCCTCCCTGCCCAGCTCCCAGCATCCACCTGTCTACTGTCCGTCTCTCTGAACTAGACGAGTGTAAGTCTCTCATGCAAGTGACACAGCATGTGTCCTTTCATGAGCCACTTATTTAATTTTTATTAGTACCTGCTTTTTAAATAAAAACTTCTAATACTCAGCATGATCCTCTGTCTCACCTCACCTGGATATTTCCAAATTCAAATACACACTCAAAGGACCCACATCTGTTACAGCCGAGAGGGTGCACAGAAACACCCCTCCTGAGGTCTCCGTGGCCACCTCCAAAAGAGGAGTCCCAAAGACATTTTGAACAAAGACATTTCAGGAGTATCAGGACAGCCCTTCCCTGGTAATTATCCTGAAAGGCACTAAAATTACATGTATCTTCTTACTAGCATACCAGGTGAAATGCATTCATTACATGCCATTCTAACAAGTGATTCCAGAAAGGAAGAAGCCCACTCAGCTCAGTGTGAGTGAGACAGACTTACTTGCCAGCTCCGCCGCCGAACGAAAGGCCAGCGGAGTTCATTCCCGCCAGGACGAAGTAGCCCTGCACCAAAGGGGACTCGCCCATGATGCACCTCATGTCCGGTGTGAAGGTCTCGGGGCAGTTCACCAACTTCACGATCTCCAGGGTCTCCAACTCTGGCATCCTACGCAGGAGAGAACTCAGCAGGGGCTCTGAGCAATAAAAACAAAGCCAAAGGAGTCCTCAGCTTCAGGGGATTCAAAACTTCCAACTCCCTCTCCTGCCACAGAATCTCTTGGAAGAGGGCTTCTAGAAGAGCCAGCTGGGCCATTTCCCAGAAAGCAGAAACCTCACTGGGACCATGGAACACACCTATGAGGTGCTTGGCTTGAAGACTGAGAAGGAAGATACTCTCTGGAGAGGTAAGGTGCTGTGGAAGAGCAGATGACACCCGTGGGCACAGATAAGGATCTCGAGGGGCTCAGTGCTGAGGCTCCCACGTGGCACCGAGAGAGATGCCATGGCAGGGCGGGTTCCCGAAGCGGGAACAGCTGCAAAGTCAGACGCTCAGCCCGTCCCGCACTCCGTCACCTGGGAGCAGCCGGGGGCGGGGCGGGGAGACAGTGACACAGGTGACACCAGACGGAAGCTGGCTGGTGGGTGGGGTTTCCTTATGCTATGCTGTCCACTTGTAAAAGTTTGAAGTTTCCACAATAAAAAGATTTTGAAAAAAATCTATTAAGGGTGGGAAGGAAACTCTTCATTATAGACCCTTTCGTATCTTTTAAATTTGGAACCATGTGACTATATTAACTATTCAATAAATAAAATTAAAATAAAACTGAGTAAACAACCACATTGATAATTTTTCTAAAAATATCTTTAATTTTATAAGAAACCCTATGAAAATGTTTCCTCCTAGCCTAAAATTTTCAGCAATTTTAGATGAATAAGTAATAAGCCACAAGTCACTAACCAAGACTTAGTCTTCTGACTCTACTGCCCAGTAACCGCCCTGAGCCCAGGCAAACTCTGCAGCCTGCCCTCGGTAACCTCCACATTGGGCTGTTATAAGGATCAAAGAGCGTGCTATTCTTAAAAATGCTTTGAAAAATGTACCATCTTAGATGAGCACAGGGCATTTTTACTATTTAATTCACACACCGAAGTGATCCCAGTCCTCCTGCAGATTCTGAATCTCCAGCTGGTTCTTGCCCTCGGTGAAAATTGGTTTCGGGGTTTTCTCAAAGCCTCCAGACAAGATGCCACCCTGCCAGTTCCGAATATAAATCCTGCCATCAGCATCCATGACAGCTGAGAAAGAGAAATGACAAGGGAGTGGGGAGAAGAGAAAAAACCGGGGTTAGAGGTAAGCCATCTTTCTAAATGGACAGAAAACAGCAAAGCAGAAACACCCGCTATTGGCTGTATCAGCCGAGCAGCATCCCATGAGCACAGTGGACACCGCAGCTTTAAAACATCCTTCCAGGTCATCTGGGAGGTTCTCCCCCTCAGACTGACAGCGGAGACTGCCTCTCTGATTACCCCTCACAGGTCAGGTGTTTAGAAGCTTTGCCTAGTCCCCACCACCAGACTAGTAACAGCCCCTGCACCACATAAAGCCTGAGACGGGGACTGCCGAGCCCACTCCAGGGGCTCAGACCTTCGAAATGAATCAGACCCTCTCCTCCACACGCAGGGTCACCGAATATCCTGAGTTTACAGCTCACCCGTGACATTCCTACAATGTCCAGCATTCAAGTCTAACACTCCAGGTTAATTCCAAATATTATCAATTTAATAGACTTCTGTCTGGGACTACAATTAGCTTAAAGGGGAGAAAAATTGCTTAAGTGGAATGCCCATTTCGGCCATCCTTTCATAAAGAGTTCTTAAAGAAAAGTCAGAACTGGGCCACCCCGTGACATGCTCTAGAAAAGCCAAGACTCTTTCGGGCATGGTCCGTCCTCAGCAGAAAGTCTTCCTCTCCAGAGGACAGAGCAGGGCAAGGGAACAAGACTGAAAACAAAGCGCGGGTCCTCACTTGGCATGCTGCTGTGCAGAGGGGTCTCCCAGGGGCGAGTCAGGAGGTAGAAGTGTTCGCAGGCATGTAACGGGATACTAATCGGCTCCTCGTTGGCCAGACCCAGCTCGTATGCCCACTACAAATGGACAGATTGATTGTGGGTGGGAGAGGAACAACAAGACAAATGAGCAAGTTCAGCCTCTTGAAAAGAGTTTAATTTCAAGTGGCTTGTGTGTGCTCTTGCTACAACGTCTGGTGTAGGAAACCAAGATTCAGCCTGAGGTAGTTTAATTATTTGGATGGGGACCAATACTAGACTTTTCCAACCATAAAACTTACTTTTAGATCAAAGGTAGACAGACTTACCAGCTAGTAACAGGAGCTCGTGGAGAGCAAATGAGGCCTTTTAACAAAATGCCTGGCCTCAACTACAATCCCCAAGTACCAATCACGAGGAACTTCCCAAGGCAGGAAGTATTCCTACATCACCTTGAACTGTAGAGTAAACGGAAAGGACTAATGTGTCTTAAAAGCAGAAGCAGCTTAGTGTTCTGGAAATTGAACCCATGCTCCTGACACAATAAAACAGCCTAACACTTTATTTGTTATATTAAAGACTGAAATAAAACACCATGGAAAAATCCAACGCCAAAAATTTATGTTGATACCCAAGTGCTTCCCGGCCCTCCTGGCAGGAGAGCGCCGTGCCCCCAGGGAGGAAGCAGAAGGTCACACTCTCTGCTGGAGGGACGGTACGGGCTTCTGACGGGGAGGACGAGAACCCCGAGTCTTCCAGCCCACACAGGAAACGGTGTGGGCCCCGACATCTGTCTGGTTTGTCACCAGACAGTCTTAAGTCTCTACGCCAAAAAAGTCCCGGAGATAAAAGGTAAGAAAGAAAACCAGAGACCCCCTCTTGTTGCTAACCCACCTGACCAGCACAGTTGACAAAATACTGGCATTCGATCTGCCCTTTATCTGTCTCCACGCCAGTAACTTCACCTTTTTTGACCATCACGTGAAGAACACTCGTCCGGTCGTAGATCTGAACCCCTGTTCCAAGGCAAAGAAAGAGTGGGGGCATCGAAATCGAACCTCTCATGTTCCAGAATCAAGGCATCTGCAGCCGATTCTCAACTCTCAGGGAACACTGCAAAGGCCGGGTCAGTGCTTTAATTTCAGAAAACAAACAACTCCAGGAGCCACATCCTGAGACTGTAAATGAGACTTTCCCAAGGTTAAAAACAGCAGGCAAATTCAGTAACCGACCTGAGTGCACAATTACATTCCAGGAATGGTAAGAGGGGCGGGGGGGGTGGGAGGGGAGTTCAAACAGAGCACCTGAAACCCCAAAACGCCCATATCATGAATCAGTCCATTCAGAGCGCACAACACCACGGACACTGGCGTGTCTTCCCCTCATTCACTCCAAACCCGGGACACGGTCCAAGCTGTGGGTTAAATCCCCAAGGTGTGTTCTAACCTTGGGGCTTCTCAAGTTCAGTGGCTGAAAGGAGTTCCCTAAGTCTGAAGTGCACTAAATCAGTAGTAAGAGCAGTTCCTTAGAACTTTAATAAGAAAAATGTGGCCCCAAGGAAAAATACTAACGGATAGTATATTAAAACAAAAGGAGCCAGCGCACAAACTGGTAGCTGCGTGGGCATTGCTGCCTACTGAGAGACGCGCCCTGGCACAACCTCTGTGTCCTGATCCCAAACCTGCTTACCATTCTGGGAGGCAGCACTCGCCAGGGCAAGAGCCACATCGGCAGAGGACACCACTGCATCCTCGGGGACGTGCATGGCCCCCACCAGGTCGTGCACATTGAGGAGAGGGTGAAGTTCAGCCACTTTCTTGAGGGAGATGATCTCGGAAGGGATGCCTATGACACTGCCACAGAACACAAGGGGACAATGACATTCACTGGCCCCCTGGCAGAGGTCAGTGTGACAGTAAAGCCAGGACTGGCTTCTAGCCTCATACGTACTTCAGCCTTGAGTTGATGCGCTTCAGGGAGATCAGGCGGTCCTGAGTCTGGGCCAGAAAGATGGAGCCGGTCCTTATGTAACCTGTAGGAAAACCAGCCCAGACTCAGACAGACCAGGACAGACGCAGGGTGGTGCGGGCGAGCCCGTGAGACTGTGAGGGAGAAGGCCTGTGATGAGTCCTGGGAGGCCACCCTCCAGACATTCTCAGCTCAGAGCTGTGTGAGGATCAAATGAGACTTTAATGCACATAAAGTCATTCTTAAAATAAAAATAAAAGATTCCATTACTCAAAAACTCTTGGGGAGGAAGGGAACCCAGGTTCCATTATATTCTTCACTCTTTTTAGATTTTCTCCCCCTAGTTTTGGTGGGAGTGTAGCCCTTGGTGAAGACAGCCCCTGATATCAGCCCCCCAGGGTGTAGGAACCCCACCTCCTTCCCCAGGACAGCCAGTAGGCATGTGACCTAAGCTCAGCCAATCAGATCCCTGGGATACTCAGCCTTGCCAAGCAGGTGAATGGTGGGAGGTCACTTGAATTTCAAGTGCAGAGCACCCAGGCCAGAAGGCTCTGTTCCACCTGAGGTGCTGCCTGTGGGACCCTGGCCTCTACGCTGCCTCTAGCTGGTTTGTAATCAACATTCCTGACACCACCACTATTATACGTGGGTCAACGGCAATCCTCCTAAACTGTAACGACTCACTTTTCATGAAGAAAGAGTTGAATCAATCAGTTTCTTTTCAAAGGAAGTACAGTGAGAACAGTGTATTTTCTTAATTTTTGTTGAAATCCTCATATAAATATACCCTTCACTGACATGACAAGAATGTCTCAGTTTAGAAGAATGAAATTTCAGAGAAGGGTGTTTAAAAACAGTCAATTTACCAGACTACTCCAATGATTTGCCGGCTGATCACACTCTGGATTTCACATTGAGAGAAAGGGTTCAGAGTTACTTTATACTCACTACTATAGATTAGATATAGGAAAGTACTACTGTATATGTTCCTTTTAACCCACTATTTTTTAAATTGCATTATCACTGAGTTAAAAAATTGGCTCAATCTCCCTAAATCTAGGTTTCTTCAGCTGCAAAAGAATGATCCTCATCATAAGGTGCAGTAATACATGAAATACTCTCAAAGATTATAAACTTTCACATGGCCACACTCATGCTGCAGCCCTGCAGACACCAACACTCACGGTTGAGACGAGGCCTCAGAGTCACACAGCGCTCTGACTGACAGGTAGCTAACGCACACCCCAAGTAAGTGGACTATCAGGGTCATCTAAGCGGGTTGCACATGGTCACTTCACCTGTATCGATGGCTCAATGGCAGTCCGCTGAAGGAAGCGACCATAGCAGGGCACGCCCGCACAAATGCAAGATGGGAGGCCTCTGGACACCTGTCACCGTGCCGCCGCAGGTGAACCACTAGGGGGGCGAGAGCCTGAGGGTGATCCCCCTACTCCCACTCACCAGACTTCCTCACTGCCCCACAGGCATCAGGGAGCAGTCAGGGCCAATGAGGGCTTCAGACGGTGACCTACAAAGAATGCTAAGCTAACTTACCTTACAGAAAAGAAGCCCATGACCCTCATCCCTCCGGAATCCAACCAGGTGAGTGATGTAAGGCTCAGCAACCACCAGTATCTGACCCAGTGGATCCACCTCTGGGCCCGGTATGTGGACCCTCTTCTGACTAAACCCTGGGTAATACCCGATTTGAGTTCCTTGTTGTCATCATTAAATCCAACCAAAGGGACTGTTTCCTGCCTGTCCTGCCTGTAGCAGGCATCTTCCCTAATAAAATGCCAGAGACAGCGAGGCAGCAGGAGATACTTTTACTGTGTCCACTTGCAAGCCCTGCCTTTCCACAGGAGGCCTGGTCAGGTCCAATGACAGCACGGGGAGCCGAGGCGCCCAGGGCACGCCGGGTAAGGAGGCACTCGATCTCAGCGCTGTGGCGTGCAGGGTCACCCTCGGGTGCGTGCTCTCCTCACCCCAGTCCCGGCCCTGTGACGTGCCTGAGAATATACCACCTCTTCCTTCCAGGCCTCCTGTTCCTCTCCTAGCATCTCCTCTCTCCAACTCCATGGCTAGGAAACCCCAGTTACTGGGCAGACGGGCTTGCTCTACAGTTTACAAATAAGGGTACACTTCATGAAAGTATGAACTATATCAAGTAGAAATGTTATAAACCCAAAATTTCAAATAATTCAGATCTCTCTTTCCCTGATGAAAACACTGTCACATGTCATATAATTTCTAAACGGGCCGGCAAGGCACACCACACACTGAGCTTACACTCTGATCACACGGCAGAGCCACTTCAGTTGGCAAAAAAAGCAAAGGTACAATCCTTTGTCGGGATTAGTCTTGAATTACCCGTGATGTGACTTACACAATGTCTTCAGAAGAGAAACCCTGACATACACAAGTATCTGGAACCTCATCACAAGGTGTGGCTACCCACTCAGGACGACTAGTGCGCTCCCCACACGGCTCCGTCGGCCAGGGGAGCAAGCTCAGCTCCGGGCTTCTGGCTGATCCGCCACTGCACACCAAACTGACCACCTGTCCCCCTTCGACCGCATGGGGCCCCAGCGTGGATCAGTCTTCCTCTCCTCGGGACAACTCCTGCTCGCCCCAGTGCTGGTTAGCTTATAACCCCCTGGGCCCGTCCGCCCCATCCCACAGGGAAGGAGACATCTATGAACGCTCTCAGTCAGGAACATCCTCACCAGCAATTTTCTGAAGTCCAATGGGCCGAACTGTGCCCATCAGCACCTCAACTTACGTTCCCCCTCCTCCTGCTGTCAGAGCCAGTGCTGCCACTTACCACACTTCAGTGAGTGAACTACACCAGAAATGGCTCAGAAAACTTTCTTACCATAAGAAGAATTGCACTGCCTGAAAGGGATGTGGAATACTGACTGAATGTTCTCATTTTAAAAACAAGGAACCGAAGACAGCACAGAAGTGAAGAGACTTGCCCAAGGTAATCCTCTGCCCAGCAGCAGCGCCAGGGCTAGGAGTCAGGTCTGAGTCACCGGTCCCCAGGCCAGTTCACGGGGGACCAGCCACAGCACCGAGTGAGGGTCCGGGGCGCAGAGGCCAGTACATGGCTGACTACCTGCTTACCTGTTTGGATCCCTGTTTCTTGCTCTAACTGATGGTACAGTTTGTTTGAATAGTCTGCCATCTTCTGCTCGATGCTCAAGTGCCTGGCGGTGCTCACGATGCCAGCACAGAACCTCGTGGAGCCGGCAGCCAGCCTGCAGCATGGATCCAAAAAGCTATTAGTTGGGCTCACATGTCTGTGAATGCAGCACATTCAACTTCCACACTGCAGCATTGTTTAATCCTATCGAAGGATGGAAATGACCTACATGTTCGTCAACACGACACTGATTTCAAAATTAGAATTCACCCACACAATGGGATAGTATACAGCCATAAAAAAGGAATGAGACCACTTTTATGCAACAATGTGTAACAATCCTATTGAGAAAAGCAAAGTGAGGAACAGTGTTTAGGGAATGCTACCACTTGTATAAAACAAGGAAAAATAAATGAACACCCATATACACCAATACATACTGATGAATATAAACGTGCTTATAAATGGAGAGCATCGGGTTTGACACAGCAGGAACTTGCCTGGCCTCCAGCAAGGAGAACTTGAGGCCAGAGGTCAGGGGCAGGAGAGAGACATTCCCTATACACTCTTCGACAATTTTCTATGCTGGCTCATGTGAATGTACTGCCTTTTAAGAAATAAATTTTAAATTAAAAAAAAAAGTCCAGTTAGCTGTAGGCAATAGAACACAAAAGTCTTAAATAAAGAACATTAGGGAAAAATGAAGAAATTCAAATAAACTATGAACTGTAGTTGGTAATAATGTGACAATGTTGTGAGACAGCAACGCTAATATAAGATGTTAATAACAAGTGAAACTGGGGGCGAGTCTTATGGGAACTCCCTCCTACCTTCTGAATTGTTCTGTAAATCTCAAACTGTTTCAAAATAAATTACTTAAATGAAAAAAAAAAAAAAACAGAAATGGAGCAGAATGTAGGCAATGTGACTCCTCGAGGAAGGCCTCTGCCCATAGGGTTTACGCTGCTGCCCGACTACAGAAAGGGGAACAAGGTGTCTTGTGAACCTGAAATAAATACGTGTTTCAGAGACTTGTTTCGTCAGAATCTGCCAGCTCTCTGAAACCAGAAAACACGGCTTTTAGACATTGCCAAAATAAAACAAAGTATAGCGTTCCCCCCTGTGATTCTTCTCACGCTACTTAGCAACGCTGATTAGCTTCTGGTGGGACAAGGTCACAGGAAGGGGAGGGAAGAGGGAACCCATGTCTGGCTGAATCCTTACCTGCCCTGCTCCAAAAGGACAATGTCCTTCCACCCCATCTTGGACAGGTGATAGGCCACAGACGTGCCCATGATTCCCCCACCACAGATGACCACCTGTGCCTGGGCAGGCAGGGCAACAGAATGTTCCGTGGCCGCCGACGCACTGCTTCTGGCTGAGGACCAGTTCCGCCATCCTCGGCTGGCTCTGTGTCTGCGGACCACTGAGAGCCACCGGTAAAACATCACGTCAGTCAGCACCAGGAGACGTGCTCTCGCTCAGCTCGGGAGATTCCAAGCATTCGAACTAGACAGAAAAAAGCAAACGTATTTTGTTCCACTGCACTGAGCACACAGGATTCATGAGGAAAAGTTGCAACAAAAAGCAATCATCATTCAGCAAACACGTGAGGATTAACTGAGTCTCAGACACTGTGCTAGGTTCGCTACAACTGCAAGCAATAATGAAGAGGCCCCTGCCTTTAGTAGCTTTGACAGAAAGGAGAGCTGTGTATGTGCGGGCAGGGGGGTCAGCAATACACATATAAACGAGTCACAAGGAGTAACTAGGGGCATGATTAATACCCTGGTCAGGAAATATGACATTTGACAGAGAAAATGGAACTGGCTGAGTGCTTCCGACAGAGGAATGAGCATGTCAAAGGCCCGGCAGTGAGACAGACCTTGGTGAACTCAAGCACAGCAACAAGGCCAGAGTGTCCCCGGCATGAGTGGGGGAAACAATCTAAGATAAAGCTGGAGGCACAGGCAGAGAGCTGTTACACACTGTCCTTGAAAGTGGGGACTTTGTTCTAAGTGCCAAGGAAAATACTGAGGAGGAATGAAACGATCTGATCTATTCTCCAAGAGCAGTCTGCCCCAGGTGCAGACCGGGTTGTGGAAGGAGAGGGAAGGCAGAGCTAGGTTAGGAAGCCACAGCAGTAGTTTGGGGTAGCTTAGACAAGGACGGTGCAGAGGTGTGACTGGATGGTCTTGGAAATACAAGGCAGAAATAAGGATGATGGTTCTGTTTCTGGCTTAAGCAACTGGGGCCACTCACTGTAGTGTGAAGGAGAAGGAAGGAATAGGGAATGAGGCTGGGAGGCTAAAGTGCAGTGTGTGTGAGTGTGTATGCATTTGAATGTCCAACTTATATTTTATTGAACATGCTATTACAGTTGTCCTGATTTCCCTCTTCTGCCCCCCTCCACTCAGCACCCCCACTCTTTCAGGCAATCCCCCCACCATTGTTCATGTCCATGGGTCATGCTATAGGTTCTCTGAATGTCCAACTTGTAGGTATTAAGTACAATACACCCACTCAGCATGCACGTGGAAACACTGCGCAGCAGCTGGATGTGCGCGCCTGTGATTGGGAAGGAGCTGCGGGAGTCATCGGCACATGCCCAGTATTTAAAGCCCTGGCATTCTGAGGAACAAGAACTCTGAGGCTCTCCTGGCATTACAGATTGGGAGCGCAAAGGGAAGACTGGAGACAGGACTGAATGCTGCAGCTCAGGCAGAGCGTACAGATAAAGACAAGTGGCCGAAGAGAAGGAGGAGGAGCAGTCGGCACAACAGAAAGAAAACCAGGCAGGGGTATCACAGAAGCCAAGAGAGGAGAGGGTTCCAAGAGGCGGCTACCTGCAGGGGGGGCTGAGGGGCAGAGCCGGGTGCCCACATGTCCACCAGGATTTGACAGCACAGAGGTCCTGGTGTCCTCAAGAACGTTTTCCGGGGAGAGGGAGGGATGAGATATGGGCGAGAGCAAACTGAAGATAAGTGAGACACAGGGGTGCGGACAGCTCCATCACAGTCTGCTGATGGGGAGCAGAGAAGGGGGACGGAAGCGAGGGAAGAGTGCGGGGCAGAGCAAAGTGAGCTGGTTGTTTCCCAAGACGGGAGCTGATGAGAGTATTTCACTGCCATGGGATGACCCAGTAAAGGCAAAGAGACGGGCAAGAGGAGGCGATCCACAAAGACGGGTGTCCCAGGGAAGGACAGAGACACAGGGTTACAGGCCTAAGTGAAGGATGGCCTCGTGTTTCCAGAGGTCATGAGGGGGACGTACCCCCACACATCACAAGAATACTGGAAGGAGGAAAGAGAGCAAGGAACTGAAAGCCTGTTTGAAAAATAATGATAGAAAACATCCCTAGCTTGGTGAAGGAAAGACATACAAGTCCAGGAAGTGCAAAGAGTTCCAAAAAAGATGAACCCAAAGAGGCCCACACCGAGACACATCATAATTAAAATGCCGAAGGTTAAAGACAAAAAATAATCTTAAAAAAGCAAGACTTGTACATATGCTGCCTAGAAGAGACTCACTTCAGATCGAAACACACAGACTGAAAGGGAAGGAAAATGGTATTTCATGCAAATGGAAAATGGAAAAAAAAAAAGCTGAGTTGACAATACTTATTTTGGACAACATAGACTTTCAAGCAAGGGATGTAACAACAAAGGGCATTTCATAATGGTAAAGCGATCACTCTAATAAGAGATTATAACTCATAAACATCCACACACTCACTATAAGAGCACCTAAATATATAAAGCAAATACTGACAGACAAACAGAAAGAGCAACAATAATACAGTTATAATTGGGGATTTCAACACCCCACTGACATTAATGGATACGTCAACATCATCCAGGAAGAAAATTAACAAGAAAACAGTGGCCTTAAAATGAAATTTTAGACCAAATGGACATAATTGATATTTTTAGGACATTTCACCCAAAAGCAACAGAATGAACATTCTTTTTGAGTGCACGTGAAACACTTTCCAGGACAGACCACATGTTAGCCCACAAAACAAGTCTCGCTAAATTTAAGATGACTGAAATCATGTCAAGCACCTTCTCCCACCACCAGGGCATGAAACCAGAAACTGACAACAAGAAGAAAACTGAAAAACACATGAACACAAGGAGGCTAACTGACATGCTGCCAGACAGTGAATGGGTCAGCGACAAGATCAAAGAAGAAATCCAAAGCTACCTTGAGACAAAATTCCTCAGGAAAATATCGGCAAACTGAATTCAGCAACATGTTACAAAGACCATCCACCAAGATCGAGTGGGATTCATTCCCAGAATGCAACGTAGGTTCAATATCTGCAAATCAATTAACGTAACACACCACATGATCAAAATGAGGAATAAAAACTATACGATCACGTCAATAGATGCAGAAAAAGCATTTGACACAATCCAACATCTATTTATGATTTTTTTAAAAAAGCCCTCTCAGCAAAGTGGGAATAGAGGGAACATACTTCAACATAATAAAGGCCAAATATGACAAACCAACACCATATTCAAGAGTGAAAAGCTGAAAGCTTTTTCTTTAAGATCAGGAATAAAACCAAGTTGTCCACTTTGACCATTTTTTAAAAAGATTTAATTTATTTGTTTAGTTTTAGAGAAAGGGGAAGGTAGGGAGAGAAACATTGATGTGGGAGAGAAACATCAATCAGTTGCCTTTAGTACACACCCTGACTGGGGACTGGCCCACAACCCAGACATGTGCCCTGCCCAGGAACTGAACTGGTGACCTTTCACTTTGCAGAACAATGCCCAACCAAGCCACACCAGTCAGAGCCACTTTGACCATTTTTATTCAACATGGTATTGGAAGTTCTAGCCACAGCAATCAGACAAGAAAAAGAAACAGAAGGCATTTGAATTGGAAAGAAAACTGTCATTATTTGCAGATAGCATGATATTATATAGAGAAACATAAAGAATCCACCAAAAAACTATTAGAACTAGTAAATTCAGTAAAGCAGCAAGATACAAAATTAATATTCAGAAATCATTTGCATTTTTATACACCAGTAATGAACTATAAGAAAAGGACATTAAGAAAACAACCCCATTTACAATTGCATCAAGAAGACTAAAATACCTAGGAATATTTTAACCAAGGAGGTAAAAGACTTGTACTTAGAAAACTATAAGACAATGAAGAAAGTAACTGAAGAAGATACAAACAAATAGAAGGACATACCATGCTTGTGGATAGGAAGAGTTAAAATGTCCATATTACCCAAAGCAATCAACAGATTCAATACAGTTCCTATCCAAATGACAATAGCATTCTGCAGAGTACAAAATCCTAAAATGTATATGGAACTACAGAAGAAAGTGAATAGCCAAAGCAATGTTGCAAAAGAAGAACAAAGTTGGAGGTATCACGCTACATGATATCAAACTATACTATAAGGCTATAGCCATAAAATAATCTAGTAATAGCATAAAATAGGCATACATATAGATCGATGGAACAGAATAGAGAACACAGAAATAACTCCACACCTATATGATCAATTAATCTACAACGAAGGAGTCAAAAACATACAATGGAATAAATAGTCCCTTCAATAAATCATGTTCAGAAAACTGGACAGATTCGTGAAAAAGAATGAAACTGGATCACCTTCTTACAGCTTCTATAAAAATCAACTCCAAACAGAGTAAACACTTCAACATAAGGTCCAAAACCATAGAACTCCGAGAAGAAAAACAGGACATAAACTAATGGGATTACTTAAAACTAAAATGTTTTTGCACAGTGAAAGAAACCATCGATGAAATTAAAAGACACCCTACTGACTGGGAAAAGATACTCACCAATGATGTATCTGATAAGGGGTTAATATCCAAAATATTTAAGGAACTTAAACAACTTAACACCAAAAAGAAAAAACAAACAATCTGATTAAAAAATGGGCAGAGGACCTCAATACACATTTCTCCAAAGAGGATACACAGATGGCCAACAGACACATGAAAAGATGCTCCGCATCACCAATCATCAGCAAAATGCACATTAAAACCACAATGAGGTATCACTTCACACCTGTCAGAATGGCCATCATCAATAAATGAATAAACAAGTGATGGCAAAGAAATGGAGAAAATGGAACCCTTGTGCACTGCTGGTGGGATTGTAAACTGGTGCAGCTGCTATGGAAAACAGTATGGCGGTTCCTCAAAAAATTAAAAACAGAACTGCCATATTGACCCAGGAGTTCCACTTTAGAGTATTTATACAAAGAAATCCAAAACACTAGTCCGAAAAGATAACATGAGCCCCTATGTTCACTGCAGCATTATTTACAGAAGCCAGCATATGGAAGCCACCCAAGTGCCCACTGATAGACGAGTGGATAAAAAGCTGCAACACACACACACAACAGGATGTGACTCAGCCACAAAAGAAGAATGACATCTCGCCATTTGTGACAACATGGATGGACCTAGAGCGCATTATGCTACGTGAAGTCAGTCAGAGACAAACACCAGTGATTTCACTTATATGTGGAATCTAAGAAACAAGGCACAGAACCACAAGGCACATGCCCTAGCAGAGAAAAGAGAATTGCAAAAGTGGCAGAAGAGACGTAACAGGTAAGTTTCAAGATGAACTAAACAATGCTAAATGATCAAAGTGTTACAAATCAATAAAAGGCTTTGTGACTTGTGTTCATCATGACCTTCAACAGAGTCAGTGAAGTGTGAGGGAGAGGAGGGGAGGGAAAGGGAGGAGCTAGAAAGGATGGGGGAGTGGAGTGGAGTGGAGTGGAGTGGGAGAATGTGATTGATTCAAACAACAGGCAAAAAATGAAGGAAAGGAAGAAACCAGTCTATTCTAGTAGCCTTGGAATTGGGTTAGCCAAAAAGTCCATATGATTTTTTCTGCAATATAAAAGACACATTATCATTTTCACCAGTAACTTTATTTATCTGGATATTTTGAGTATGTCAGCTATCTCCTGCTACTGGTTTCTGGTGGGTAGAGTCCAGGCGTGCTGCTAAACATCTTCCAATGCATAAGATGGCTCCACAGCAAAGAATTATTTGGCCAAAATGTCAACAGTACAAAGAAACCTAACAAACAACTTTTGACACATTAGACCAGCCACAGCACCTTCTCCACACACTGCATAAGTTAATTAATTAATTAATTTATTTATTTTTGCATTTCAGTTGTGTTTTTACCTTTCTTGAAATAATAAAGCATTGCCCTGGCTGGTGTGGATCAATGGATTGAGCACTGGCCTGCAAACCAAAGGGCTGTTGGTTGGATTCCCAGTCAGGACACGTGCCTGGGTTGTGGGCCAGGTTCCCAGTAGGGGGCATGCGAGAGGCAACCATACACTGATGTTCCTCTCCCTCTCTTCCTTTCTCCTCTCTAAAAATAAAATCTTTTAAAAAATAGAAAAAGAAATAATAAAGCATAATACACCAAAAATGTTACATATTTTCTTCCATCTTCAATATTGAAATGACTGCACAAAAATTCACCAACTTAGAATTTTTAAATGCACGCTGATATGACAACTGTCACAATACAATCTAACAAAATTGTTGTGAATGAAGTTGAAGATAACTTAGCACTACTCGAGCCATTGTAGGGAAAAAAAAACACTAAACAAACTTTTTGGCCAGCCCAATAGCAAAAGCAAAGAAAAGTTTGATAGCAAATGTGGCAAAGCCAAAAGAGAAGAAACTGAAGATGTCAAAGACAAAGAAAGAAAACACATAACCTGGTTCAAAATAAATTGTATTTTAAATGAATAAAATGGCTGTGTAATATTCTCTGTGAAGAATTTCTGCTAAACAACCTCAATACTGGGGCTGATTGTGCTCAGATCCGCTCACACCAACAAGAGCAAGAGGACAGACAGCTCTAACCCCCTCTGAGCTGTTCCTCTAATAACACAACGCTGTGTACACCTGCACCGCCAGCCCCAGGGAAGACTGGGAGACTACGGACGGATTAAGGGAACATTTCCCACACCTGCCTCAGCATAAGCATCACCTGGGACACCTCTTGAAAAAAACACTCTCAGGCTCCCTTCTTTGTAGATTCTGATCCTGCTGGTCCATGGTGCTGTATTTGTCAACAAGTGGACCAGGTGACCAGACAAGTTTAAGAAATTATTATACATCCCTAGCACCGGAAAACTGTACCCTTGGGCCCAGCGTGTCCCCTCCATCAACCTCGGCCACCACCACCACGCCCGTCTTCCGTGGCGCCCTCCCCACCCCGCCCGCATCTCTGTTTGTCAATAAGTCCCTAGCACCGGAAAAGGGTGCCTCTGGGCCCGCCTCACCCCACCTCCCAGCCCCACCCCGCGTCCTCCTCCAGTGTGTCAAGCTTACACGCTTGGGCAAAATGCACTTCGAGATTCCTGAATCAAATCTGAGTGTCATTCACATCGGACCCAAGGGGACAAACACTAAGACACCGCCCTAGCCTAGGTTTTCCCAGGCAATTCACCGCCGGACTCCGCATCAGCCCCACTAGGTGCACCGCACGTTTCAACGCGGGAAACCGATTCCACCTGCAGAGGAGGGAGACGGGGGCTGGACAAGCCTCATCGCGCTGCGGGGGTGAGCGAGCCCCAGGCGGGGAGCCAGAAGCCAGGTCACCCCGAACGCCTGAAGAGCCGGTGCGCGGCGGCCGGGCACGGGTCCCCGAGCTCGGGACAACCTCCGCCCGGCGGGGCACGGCCGCCGCGAGGCCGAGGGAGGTCAGGCGGACCCACTCTCGGCCCGGGTCGGCGGAGTCCCGGGGCCAGGACGCGCCTTCTCGAGACAACCAGGAAGAACCCACAGGAAACGAGGGACGGCAGGGACCACCCCTGAGCCTGACCCAAGGGGAAAGACGGGACACTGGGGGTCCCGGGGCGCTACAGCCGGCCCGCGCGGACGGGGGCGTCAGAGCGGCCCCGCGGCGGTCTCCTTACCTCATCGGCGCCCACGGGCTCCGTGCTCCGCCACGGCCGGCGAAAGACCGGCAGCAGCAACTACAGTCACCAGGGGTCCAGGGTCCGGAAAAGGGGAGGGATCAGGGACTGGGAAGGGACGGGTTGGAGGAAATAAAGAGTTCCGGGGAAGCGGGGGGCCGCGACCTTCCGCGCTTTACGGTCCCCGGGAGCAAGGGTACGTCGGCGCGTGATCTCACTTGCGCAGGCGCGCTGTGGAGTCACCGCTGCAGCCCCGCCCCTGCACGTGGGGCTTGTTGGGGTCTCGTTAAGTCTGTCCTTTGTCTCTGCCAAGGTGAAAGCTATTTGGAGGCATTACCTCCCAAGGCGTCTTTAGAACTTGAGCCTCGTAACCTGTTAATTCCTGCAAAGGCAACAAGGATGTCCGAGGGGAGTAGCAGCCCTGCTGGAGTGTGGGGTGTGCAGAGGTTCTCTTTACCGTGGAGGCGCTTTTCCCGGCCTGGCCCCACGCCCTCGTGGGCTCTCAGCCCAAAATCACTCTAGTCCAGGGCGTTAAAAGGCTATTTGGACCGACAGTCGTTTGTTTCTTGAAGTAGTTCGAGTCTTCCGGGGCGACACTCTAGCAGAGCAAATTGGAAATCCAGCCTGTTGCCCTGCTCTACCTTGGAGGCAGGATCTTACTCTGCACCTTTCTAGCCAGGGAAAGAGGAATCCCTTCAGGCCATCATTTTTAGAAGTACTCCCCATTCACCCCTCCCTTACTATCACACCGCCCTGTTTTCTTTCCTTTAAAAGACTCATCACTATGTAAAATATATGTTTGCTGACTGATTTTCCGACTAGTTACAAACCCTGCCCTCTCCCGACAGAACCTTGATCTACTGCATGGCTGTATTCACAGCACTTAGAACAGTATGGCACGTTGTCCAGTAAAACTTCTTTTGAATGACAGCAATCTAATGGTACAGCCACCCCTGAGTGTTGGGCCACACTCTTCTGTCCCCATTCTTTGGATTCAAGCACATCTCACCACATAAACCAGTCTTGTTTTATTCGCCGCCTCTTGTGGCCAGGCACTCTGTTGGGTGATGGGATTCAGCAGTGCACAAGAAACAATGGGCTTCTGCTTTTATGAAGTGTCAGTAAAGTTCCAGGGACCCTGTGTCACCATGCCAGCCCATAATGTGCATACTTTATACACCACACAGTAGCCAATTAACTCACTCAAGACAGCCCACATGAGGTCTGTCTTCCTGAGAGCAGCAACTCTGCCTCTTGCTAACTGTGTCACGAAAACTTCAGGGCATTCTGGGCTTCTCTCCTAGATAAACACTTTAATATTTTAGCTAAAGGCTTAAAGCTTGAGGTCACCTATTTGTCCCCCAAAAGAAGGGATAGACCAATGAACCTGAGGTATATTCTTAGGGAAGCCTTCCCTGATGCCCAAATGTGACTCTTTGTGGAGAAAAACTTCGTAAGTTTTCTTGGTGAGTCAGGTAGCTGGCCCATGCCATTTCAGTGCATAGGAATTTGGGAAAAACCTAGCTGTCTGTAGGAAATGGTGGATGAAATGAAGTGACATTTAATGTGTTGATTTCAACTGTTTACATGCTGTTAAGTTTTTTTTAACACCAATGTGTGGTTGCCTCTCACACGCCCCTCCACTCAGGACCTGGCCCTACAATTGGGAATCGAGCTAGTGACGCTCTGGCTTGCAGGCCAGCGCTCAATCCACTGAGGCACACCTGCCAGGGCTACATGCAACAAGTTTTGAACAAGCTGTATAGATTTCCGTCTGCTTTCTCACTTGTCACCATTTTGGCCTCCACTTTAAAATGCTAAGTCCTAAAACTTCTTTCATTGTCAATGTTGACTTATACTTCGTAGGCTCTCATAACCACAAGTGTACTATTTTAAGGGCATGGAGTGTATTACGTTTTTGGCTCTTCTTTTCCATAAAATGTCAGAGTTATTCCTTGTGAAATTCTAGACTTCTCAGAGCAAAGCATCCCTTGAAGAGTTACGCATTTCTATGAGCCATTTTTCTCATGCTATCTAGATGCGGCTATTTTTATCTCTTACAAACCTTCTGACTTCTCCTTTTTCTGTTTGTAAGGACAGTAAATACAAGAGGTGGGAAGGATATTTTTAGCATCTGTTTCAAAAGATCTAAGCCAGGAATTCCTTTGCACACCAAGAACTGGGACTCGAAGCACATCTTTTCTCCACATCAGGTTCTCATGCCTTACACTTGAGATTGCCACATGGTGGGCGGAGAGAGGAAGGCCAAAAAAGGAACTCCATTTCAGTCTGAGGGTTCCCATCGCCCCCCTCAACCTCTCCTTCCCCAGAACGGGTGAGTGTGGGGGCGTGAAAGCTGCCACAGCCCGTCTCAGTGAAGGGTGTTCTAAGCAGCACAGTTCACACTTTACTCTCTGGTCAACTCTTGGGATGTATCAGAGTGCCACTGTAGTTACTGTAAAGTGCTGTAATGTGTTCTTTGCATGTGTAAATGTGCACTTCTGTCCAGCCCTCTCTGTCCCTGTGCGGCGTTAGCTGGTGGTCCTGAAGACGTGCGAGGCGCTTAGGTAAATGGCATCTTTTCTCAAGAGCCCTGGAGGCTGACGCATTACGCATACAGGGTGACCGAGCACTCCTGCCCTCCGTGAACACGGCATTGACATTGTGCACTGTATTTCTGTCAGGGCAGATTTCAGTTAAAGGTTTTCTTTTCATGTCATTAGGTCTGTGAATGAATAAACAGACACTTTAATGACTCTTGCCATGCCTGCTTGTCAAATATTCTTCATCTGCAGTAACTCAGTTTAGTATGTGTCAACACAAAAGGAAAACCTCATAAATAAAATTGTTGATTCCTGTGTTACCAAGTTTAAAGCAGAATGTGGAAACCAAGTTAAAGTAGACATGGGCATCACATTACTCTCCATGCTGGAGAGAGAAAGCCTGCATTCCTCCTTCTGAGGTTATTATCAGTCACTGGGTTCAACACAGACTTCCTACTGAAAACCTGGTGCTCATTTACCTGTGAGCCCATGTTTATGTGGGTATGTGTGCATTCTTGGTCATGCCCGTGGGGAGACTGCAGAACATTATCCACAAGAAGCAGCCCATGCTCCTGCAACAGCCACCACATCCACAAATCAGTGTATTTCTGCAGTGAGACACCTGCTGGGGGCTCAATAACATGCTGGGTGCTGCAGAACTATTTCACAGAGACCGTGGAAGACAGAGTAACACTGCAATGGCTATTGTGCCAGGCGTGTGCCAAGTGCCCTGGCTGCACTACCTCTCCGAAACGTCACCAAAACGGTGTAACAGAGATGAGAGTATCCCTGAGTCACCGATGAGGAAAATGAGGCTTAGAGAAATGCATTCTCAGGTTGCAGGTAATAAAAATGAGGACTCACATCTAAGTCTTTAACACATAAAACAATGAACTATTCATGTAAGTGCTAAGTAGTGTGGTGGAGACTCTAATGCAATAGAATCACCTGGGAGATTTAAAACACCCTCTGAATGGAGGGAGATCAACAAAGCTGAAGGACAGAGCAGTACTTCTAAGGACTTTCTAGGGACTTCTCTTGTATCTCGAGACCACTGGATAACTATTTAGAGTCTGGAGGAGAAATGATAGTCATTTAAAGCTACATGGATGAGGGGCAACTCCAGCTGGTTCTCAAAGAGCGTGCTTTACACAGGACACGGGTTTCCCTCATACAGTGTCCCGTTTCATCTTTCCGACAGTCGTACCAGGTAAGGTTCTAGTAGATGACGTGGACTCAGATGGAACATGACTTTCCCAAGATCACTCAGCTAGTGGGAAGGCCTGGAAACGGAGCCAAGACGATGTATCTGAACCCAACACTCTTTTCAGTTTACCAGAGAACAGCTGGCCAGGAGGGCCTCTGGGGATGAGGTGGCCCAATGACCGGAAACGGAAAGACAAAGAACAAACAGTGGAAGGAGCTGGACTGCCTGTGGTAGATTGATATTGTTTTCAGTTGCTCATTGCATCTGCCATGTGACCTCACAGTGCAGGGAAGGGCTGGAGTGTATTTTTGTCCCACTGCAGTCAGTTGGCTTCAGCCATCTGTATGGCAATTTCTTAAAAAATATGTATTTATTTATTTTTAGGGAGAGGGGAAGGAAGGGAGAAAAAGAAGTCAAGAAGCATTGATCGGATGCCTCTCATACACGCCCTGACCGGGAACCAACCTGCAGCCCAGGCATGTGCCTTGACCTGGAATCAAACTGGCGACCTTTAACTTTGCTTGATGAAGCCCCCACCAACTAAGCTACTATGACTTTTTAAAAAAGATTTTATTTCTTTTTTTTTTAAGATTTTTATTTATTTATTTTTAGAGAGGGAAGGGGGGGAGATAGAGAGAGAGAGAGAGAGAGAGAAACATCAATGTGCGGTTGCTGGGGGTTATGGCCTGCAACCCAGGCATGTACCCTGGCTGGGAATCGAACCTGGGACACTTTGTTTCCCAGCCTGCGCTCAATCCACTGAGCTACGCCAGCCAGGTAAGATTTTATTTCTTAGAGAGTGGGAAGTAGGGAGAGAGGGAGAGAAACACCTATTTCCTCTGATCCACCCCCAACCAGGGACCGGGCCTGAATCCCAGGCATGCGCCCTGATTGGGAATCAAACTGGCAAACTTTTGGTTCGCAGGCTAGCACTCAACACATTTAGCCACGCCAGCCAAAGCCACTACGACTTTTTTTAAGGTGGACAAGTGTGGAGCGAGGCCTTAAGAGGCACTGTGCATTTTTATTAGCCCCGTGGACTCTTGCCATCTTCCATAAGAAGATCAGGGCATCATACTCAGGGCACTGTATCATGGAGGATGAGAGACGCATGAAACAGACCTGAAAATCTGCCTGCAGCCAAGCCCACTGACCCACACCCTGAAAGAGAGCTGCCCAGCCAAACCACAGTCACTGGCAGGCGAGTGAGCATGAGATCAAATGGTTGTTGTAAGACACTGTGTTTTGGGCTGGTTTGTTTTGCAGCCTTTGCGTGCCTCAAATAAAGGGTCCTTTAATATGGTGTTACACAGGAATTATGAAACCAAGGCCTACATCTCCTTAAGGAATTCTTTCACCTACTGCAAACCTTGAAGTCAATGGTCTTTATTCTGCTTGTCTACTAATATTTGAGCAGCTACCTGTGGGAGCCCCACAGGCTAACATGTCAGG